CCCGTGCGGGGAACATTTTGTTTTGCACGTTGACCTTATGCTGTCTATCCTCTTTTTTCTTTCTCTCTGCAAATTCTTTATCCTAGCAGTTCACCAGACCCTGGGAAGGAGATAGGAAACTCTAATGCACTGGACTGAGTTGATCCTAAGAAGTCCTGCTAGCCAACTATGTCCTTTACTATCTACACAGTCAATGGTGTATTTTCTTTTGGACAAATACGGAATTTTGCAAAAAGGCATCTCAGCAGCTGGCATTGGCAGCCCTGGAAGGGAAACAGGTTACACCTTGACTTAACAACAGTTTGTTTAGTGGCTGTCCAAAGTTACAATCGCCTTGAAAAAAAAGGACCATTTAGGACCACTTTTCACATTTATGACGGTTGCAGTGTCCCGGGATCACGTGATCCCCTTTTAAAACCTTCTGATAAGGCAAAGTCAAAGGGGAAGCCAGATTCACTTAACAACTGCGTTACTTATCTTAACAACTGCAGTGATTCACTTAACGACGGTGTTAAGAAAGGTCGTAAAATGGGGCAAAACCCACTTTACAACTGTCTTGCTTTAACAACATAAATTTTGGGCTCCGTTGTGGTTGTAAGTCAAGGACTATCTGTATTAGTTGTTAACTTTATTTTGATTATTTCATAACTCTTGGGGAGAGGTTGATTGTAGAATTTCCTTCCACAGGAGCTAAAGCAAATAGCCTGAAGCCTACTTCAATTGATTTTGGAAAAAGGCAAGTAAGTGCTACTCCAAATTTTACCCCAAATACAATTTTACCAGTTTCCAGCACTACCAACCTAGAAATTTGCTCAGACAAATTTATGTTGCAACAGCCACTCATCCAGCTGGTTGCACTCAAGAGAGTTTTTATTAAAGTTCATTTGAGCAGTTTTGTTAACAAAGATCAGAGAGCTCGCTTGCTGTGTTGGTTGTTGGTTGGTTGGTTGTTTAATGTTCATGTTTGCTTTGTTGTATCTTATTGAATAAAACAACCTGGCTGACTTCACGTCATGAAGTGAGCCATACTATAACTTGATCTTTGGATTAAGATGGAATTACCTGGAGTGACACAGCATGCTAAGTAATGAACGATGCTTTACAAACCACACTGATGTGCTAAGCCAAACTTTTGAGTGAGCTCTAATAAAGCTTAGCACGATGTAGGACTCTAGAAATGTGTTTATCCAAGACCGTGCTTAAGACTACAGGCTCCTCCTTCGGTGACTGTGGTAATCGGTTGCAGATTATGGATTCTCGCTGTTTTGCGTCTTCTTGCTTCTTCATCTCTTTTGCCTCTTGTTGCCGCATCAATGATTTATAGTTCTTGTTCTTAATTAAGAATTTAATTCTAAATTATTAATTAGTGGAGCCACATTGTCATGTGGGATTCTGCAAGGTGAAAGATATAGGTTTGCAAGTAATGAGTAGCTCTCAAGACACCAAAGCATTGGCTGATCTTGTCTAAGTTCAGTTGAATCAGAACTGGTTCAGTACTTGGATGAGAGATAACAGAAAATACTAGGACTGTTGATTAGACTAGTCCAGTGTTTCTCATCCTTGGCAGCTAGAAGATCTTTGGACTTTGGCTCCCAGAATCCCCCACAGTTAGCATTGCTTTTGTGGACTTCAACTCCCAGCAGATGCTTTTTCAACTTCTTAGTCCAATATTTCTTAATCTTGGCAACATCCTGGAAGAATGCAGTGGCCAATCATTTCTGCCTTGCTGCTGCACATTACCAGATCATTGTAAGCTGACAATAACCAGAAGGAGATGCTATGCTTTTAAGAAAAAGCTAGGACTTTTTGCAATCTTGGCTGATTCCCCATGAGAGGAAGTGGAAAAAACAAAAATAAAAACTCTCCAAAGGTTGCAGCTATTCCAGTTGTATAAAGAGTCCCTTTGCAAAAGCAGAAGAGGAGCTAATGTTATTTTAGGCACTGGTTATTTTAAAATTAGTCAAGCTAAGAGTGAAAAACAAACATGGTTGGTCAATTGGTACTGTTTACATCCAGAGTTTACTCAAGCAAAAAAGGGTTGCATAAGATGAAACATTCATAAACTGAGCGTATTGAACTGCCGGGGGGGGGGGAATGGTCTGACCTAGAAAAAGAAACAAGGAAATAAACATGTGCACTTACCAGCGTTCTACCACATTGCTTTGTTCCAACTTCTTCCTCCAAATATTTGGTTACATGTATTGAAGATAGGATCTGTTTCTCTTGGAGATTTAGCACATTCAGAACCTGGAATGTGGATGTACAGTAGCATGAACCTCTCACCATTTAACTTGCAAACTTTTGGCCTAGAACTGCAAGGGAAAAATAAATTGGCTCCAAAGAAAGCTTGTCTTAGCTACTGTTGCCTGAGATTTTACCATGCCAAAATCAAGAGTGACATCTTGTGGCACATCCTTGCTATGCCTTTTTCAAGTTTGCTCAAAGAGCAAATTTTGTGAGGTTCAGGGTTGGATGCCAGGTTGGGCTCTCTGTCTAGATAGCATCAGGATGGCTCTGAATCTTGGGACTGTAATGGAAGCCCAATGTATCCATGTTCTTCTGGTGGAGTCCAACAGAGCCGGCTGATTCCTGATCGATGATAGAAGCTGTTGGACCTGGTATACCCTTTGCTAGTGGAACCTCTCTTGAAAAGTCCCACTAATCTCCATTGGAACAGAAGAGAACAAGCTGTCTCCAAAAATTAATTCTTAGAGGTTGAAGATGGGAACCAAGCCGATGGAAAAAAAACAAGAAACAGTTCTTGGCTGAATGTTAGGAGAAACATCTTACAAGCAAGCCTTAGGGGTATGATGTGCTGCTACCATAAAATGATTTTCTGTCATTAGAATGTCTAAATAAAAGCTGGGAAGACAATCCCTCAAGAATGTTCTGTTGTTCTTGCATCCTGCAGGGTAGATGTTATATTTAACAGGAAGCTGCATTTGACTCTGTTTTGCTCAATTCTAAGGAAAATATTTCTACACATACCAACTAGGCGGTATGCTATTATTCCAACTGGTTGTAACCTATAAATTCTTCTTCTGATTATAGGGAGCCATTTGAACATTTGGAATACTAAGCAGGGGTCTCCATTCTCTCTGAACACTTTGGAATTTTGAGTGCATGTTGCAGGTCTTCTCCCAAAATGCTGCTGGTGGAAAATTTGGATGAGCTTGTAGATGGAGAATGCTTGCTATGGAGATCACAGCCACACACAGAGCATTGATTTCTCAAAATAAGTCTGGAGGCAGGTTGTTCCACTGGTTAATTGTTCTAACTGTCAGGAAGTTTCTCCTTAGTTCTAGGCTGCTTCTCTCTTTGGTTAGTTTCCATCCGTTGCTTCTTGTCCTGCCTTCAGGCGCTTTGGAAAAATAGCTTGACTCCCTCTTCTCTGGGGCAGCCCCTGAGATATTGGAGCACTGCTATCATGTCCCCCCTCGTCCTTCTCTTCGTTAGACTGGACATACCCAATTCCAGCAACCGTTCCTCATATGTTTTAGCCTCCAGTCCCCTAATCATCTTTGTTGCTCTTCTCATTGCCCTGATCCTTTTTGTGGACCAGTTCCACCTTAATCACACTATAAACATGCCCTTATCTCATATCCTTATGACATCTTTGTCTCATCTCTAGCCCACAGCTGTGGCAGCTTAGAGATGTGATCTGCCTTGCTTCATTGGCAAGAGAGTCGATGATCTGGTCAAGGGCTTGAGGCTGACCCCCTCCAAACTACATGATGATGACCATTTGGGCTTGAGCTGCGAAACAGAACCACCACCTGCTTCTCCATAGTCAACTATGCAATGCCTGCTCAGCACCTTTTTCATAGTACATGCAAGGTTGCTTATGAATACAGCTTTAACATTCTTTTGGAAACATGCTAGAACTGGTTTTAAAAATGCTTAGTGGGTTTAGTGCTCTTCTAATTATTTTTTTTTAAAAAAAAACAAAACTGGGCCTATGCTGCATGGAAGATTGATTTAAACCTTGAAATAGAGCTGGGAACAGCCAGTTTTATATTATTCATTCTGTCACCAGTGAGCGCCTTACAGGTTTTCTACTACTTTTGCTGGCAAGGGATTTCACACTTTTTTTTTAAATACTATTTTTATTATTTTGGTGGGAAGGTGTCATTTTTCCTACATCACATGAGCTGCTTCTGGGTGCTGCAGGCCACATTCAACACTGTTAGGTCCAGAAGGAAAAGTGAAACTCGGAGCTTGCTTATCATTGGCTTCCCCTCTGTGACCAGTCAGCCAAGCTATTGGACATGAGTTTAGCACTATTTCAGAACAGCACTAAACCTGTATTCGTAAACAGTATCAAGCACAGAACATAGCTATGTTGTCACCTGCCCACTAAACATCTTGACGGGCTAAATCAGCTTTTCTGTCTTCACCTATCCATCTTCATCCATTTAGAGCAGGGGTCTTCCAACTTGGCCCTTTTATGATTTGTGGACTTCAACTCCCAGAATTCCTCAGCCAATGTGCCTGGCTGAAGAATTCTGGAAGTTGAAGTCCACAAGTCATAAAAGGGCCAAGTTTGAAGACCCCTGATTTAGAGGAAAGTAACCCTCAGTTGGAGAGAAAACAAAGGTGGGGAAAATATATCTATCACTGTTCTTCATTGACCCACATTAAACCAGTAAGGGCAGCATCACTCAGCAGTATCCTGAGACAGAATAGGGATCAGCAGAAGGCAAAACAGTTGATTCCAGCTTATTTTTTCATGGATTGGATGGGTATCATGCTTCATTATGCTTCCTGACTGTGCTTCATCCCTACTTAGAAAAATGGAAAAAGTACATGATGCTAGAAAAAGGTATGTGAATATTGCAGTCAAGAGCATTGCAAGCTTCTATGTGTGGATTTGGTTTATTTTTTTTATTGTTGTTGGGTTTATGGGTTTATTTTGTTGTGTATTGTGTAAAAGCAGGATATAAATCTAAAAAACCAGCACAGTGTATTTTGCATAACAAACAGCAAAACTGACTTCTTTATCCTTTCATTCATCTTCATATCTTTATTCCCGAGCACAATAAGTTTTAAAAGGTTTGAACATATTTTTAAAGTATGTACATGTAATAAATGCTCTCTTCATCTCAATGCTAGCTCATTTTAACTTGTTAACATTTAAAACTGCTTGATGTACTATGTTAAATTAATATTATACATAAATAAATATGCTTTCTCTTGAAGCAGATACATCTGTTATCTTGTAACCACGTTCTATAAAGATTAGTAATTTCTCAATATTACTGACTCTATTTTTTACATAACTTGTTGAACTGTGTCTAACTTGAGTACAGGCCAGCTTCTGGAAAATGTCTCCAATTCAAATTCCTCTGAGCTTAACTGTATCTTGGTGAGACCTGCATTGTTCTGGAGATTGGTATCACCCCATCCCCTTTGTTATCAATGATACTTCAATATTCAAGGATATGTTGGTCTGTTCTAAACACCATAAGGGCCTGCTTACATTAATGAATTTTAATGTTCTAGGATATTTTATCCAGCAACATTAAACAATATAGCCCAGAAACGATACCCTTAAGCTAGAGAACATACTCTACATAATGGGAGGCACTGTAATCTACACAGAACAGGAATGTAGAAACTGTAAGGGTAGAGAGGGAGATGGATTAGGAAACGGTAAGGTCAGACGGAGCAGCTAAACTGAGTTGATATTTGAGAGGTTAGTGGTGGATCATATGGCTATGTGTGCATACATTTTCAGATTCAGTCTTAGAATTTCTCTAGTGGAGACTCTATCAAATAAGTATTTGCAATGGGGGTATCTTTTTTGTTGTTGTTGTAATCTCGAGCAGGGCAGATCAAAGAGAATTCCTCTCATTTTTGGAATTGTTTTGCTAAGGCAGGTTTGAGAAAAGTTCTCTGGTGGGTGATTGTCAAGTGAAAATAACAGAACCTGGGAGAAAATTCAGCTATATATCTGCAAAATGAATGGAGCAAGAAAGGGTATCTGCCAAACTAATGGGGCAAGATTGAAATAATCAAAGTGAAAAATGCATTAAACAAAAATGCTCTGGATAAGGGGGATCAGATACAGCAGAATTTTTTTTTTTAGGGGAATTTCACAGCTTTTTGAAGGACACATCTGATAGCAGACTTTTTCAGAGTAAGCCCAGGGAGAATTAAAGACACAAAGAAGTGGCTTCAGTAAAGCAATTGAATATAGCTAAGAGAAGCAGTTCATATCCTCGGTTCTAAGAATGTGTCCTGTGGCTTACAGAAAAGGACAACAAGTTGATTAAGAAAAATTGAGAAGTAGACTTCCTTAAAATCATGATTCAGTCAGTGAGTAGTGTGGACTATTATTAAACCCTGCTCTTTTTCAGAAAACTGTCAGCAACACATGTATTACTCATCCATGACTGGTACCAAATACATATTCATTTCCACCCAGCTTTCAAACAAGTATTAGTCAATAGTTGTTGTTTTTTTTAAAAAAAGATCGAACATAAATAAAAAGCACAATATTTGTCCATTCTTAAGAAATTAAAGCCATTCATTTGCAAGATTGTGTGTTGATCCAAAGATGCAGATATAACCTTGCATGATAAAACAGCTTCCAATTGCCTTTCAAGAATGCAGCACAGCTACAAATAGTACGTAATCCTTTCTGAGGCTTTTTTTTTTTAAGTGAATGAGAGACACTCACGTAAGACTGCTATGGTAGCAGAAGAATCAACAGGAGTTTGAAATCCCTGAAGTGCTATCTATGAGTATTCAAGTAGCAATTTGTGCAGCATATGAACAGTAGCCAGTTCAGATGAGGAAAGAAAAGGAGTTGTAGGCCATCAGCAGAAAGGCGAGGAGGAAAGCTGATCACAGTGGACACTGTTTAAATAGCTGAAACCTTCCCTATTAATGCAACGTGATGGAATCTCATGCTAATGTCTTAGGAACAGAAGATAAAATTCAGCAATGAATTTGTATTCAGGGAAGTGTTTCAATGACCCTCCACAAGCCTTTGAAAATAGCTGTATCTTAAGCCCAAAATTATAACCCAGCCCAGCCTGATCTTTCCAGCAGATAATTCTGCCAGGGTCCTGTTTAGAAGCTGGAGTTTCTAAGAAAGATGCTAAGAACTGGAATTCAGAGAATGTCAACATGCAACCATTGTCAATAGCAATTCAAGGGAGTGTGGGAAAAGAGAGACCAAAGAGTTTGCAGCTTTGATGCAGGAAGAGCTATAACATTCTGCACCATCTCTCACTTTGCTCAGAGTGAGTCTTCCTTTCCTGAAAGCAAGAAAACAAACCTTTGAAAATAGCTGTATCTTAAGGAACTCCGGTGGCTAGGGATTTTGACCTGGCCCAAGTGGATATGCAGTGGCAAAGGGACATAGCTGGATATAATTCATAATTCTTGGACAGGCTTAGAGTAAGCGCCCTTTGGAGCAGCATCTCTGCTTTTCAATACCAGTCATTTCGTATGGATTGGAATCCCCAGCTCCATTGCCTCCCAAAGTGTCCTCAGAAAGACAATTCATCTCTCCCCTACATGCAACCTTTTCACTGATGGCCATTTTGGAGAGCTCACAGAGGAAGAGGCCTGTCTGCTATTCCAATCTACTTTAGAAATTTTGAGCGTTGCAAGCTATTCACACGTTTCTAACTACGAAGTTGAGGTTCCACTTAACTATTACCAGCTTCTTCCAGGTACCCAATTGATTACAAAACCCAAGTCTTCCACTAAAATCAAATGATTGCCCCCAAATGATTTTATGAGCCAAAAATTCATTAATTTTTTATAGGAATTCAAGGCCTTACAGGAACTAAACTTGGTCTCCTGAAGCCAGGAAAGAGACTTCTATGGCTGAGGCTCTCCTACAAGAATGTTTCTGGGAATTTGAAGTGAAGTGAACTCAGGATCTTTCTTCATCGTCTTGATAGTATCTATCAATTACATCTGAATTAAAATAGACTACTGTAACGGTGATATCATCCCTATACATGCGTGCTAAGTCATCAGGAAGAGTCAACATTGCAATGAGCTTTTCCTGGTCTATCTTCCCATACTCATTGGTGCCAATGGCGTGTCGGATGAGATGGGTTGCCACATTCCGGTCACAGGGCTGGTCAGTCTGGGCCTTTCTCCGAAGTAGCAGGTCTTGCATATACCCCAAGCTGGTTGGTTTCTTAAAAGTGAGCTCAGTTTTCTGATCATCAGCTTCAACCGCATGGTTTGCAATGAGCTGGACCACCTCTTCATTACTCAACATGTCCCACAGGCCATCAGAAGCAAGAACCAGAAACTTATCCTGCCGTCTGATTTTGTGGTAAATGACCTCTGGCTCAGCAGTCAAATAAGGGGGTGTGTGATAACATGGAGGGACGAATTCATAGATGTTTAAATCCTCCAGGTTGCAGTGGTTTTTAAGGACGCTCTGCTGCAGCTCCTGACTCCACTTGAACATGACATCTCCAAAAGCTCTAGAAGGCATAAGGACTCCCAGCAACCTGTCGTTCAGGAAGAGAGTGCTCCCTTCAGAAGCTGGGTGTTCACTTTTTAACCGCAAGATTTCCGACTCATTGAAAGCATTGTGATCCCGGGTAAGCGGTAAAGCAGACCACGTGCCGTTGGGGTTCTGAGCTCCCAGGATCACCCTGCAATCCCCAGCATTTGCAACATGCAGATGAATCTGATCCACATGAGCTAAGCAGGCCGTCGCACCCGAGAAAGCCACCTGAACAGCGATATTTTTCAGCAGTTCATTTTGGGAAGGTGCCTGAACTTCCAGCGATATGTCTGAATCCAGCCTTTGAAAAGCACCAACCAAAGCTTCTTCTATCGTCAGTCCAAGGTCGGTGTCCGAGTTCAGTAAGTCTTGCCAATACACTCTGAGCTGCTCCAGGTACAGGGAGGCAACCTCATGGAAGAAGCTGTCATTGGGGTGTTTGTGCCACTGAAGGATCGGCAGAATCGGTTTCATAGACTCCATGGCCAGCTCAATCTCTTCCAGCGTTTGCCGAGGCAGAAGAGAAACAGCAAGGTAAGAAAACAGCCTCTCACTAACCGACTGAGCACAGGCATAGCCAGCATGGCCATCAAAGACCCCGAACATCATTCCCCTCGTCTGCAAACAGGTTGCCGCACTTCGGCGGTCTTCCATCGGCACGTTGGCTCCCAGCTGGTTGGACTCGAACTTCAATACTGAGCTGGGATTTTTCCCATCAAATTCAGGGACGGTGTAGGACAACTCGCTCGCCTTTAGGACCTCATTGATCTGTGTTGGTGTCAAGTGAAAAGAGAAGTCTTCTTCCTCTGTGGAGGTATGTCGGAACGCCTTTCCCAGAGGGAAAGCGTGATTGACCTTGCAACTGCATCTTGCCGGAGACCAACTTGAATGACCTCTGGCAAGCAAACATTTCCATGCTTGATTTTGGGAGAGAACACATCTGGAATAGAGGTGTCTTCTTCCAGGCAAAGTGGCAACAGCAGACCTTGAAATAATAACCCAACTAGGCATAATGCCCATCCTACGATTCCCTTAGACTTCCAATCAGCGTGTTCTGGAAAGTCTACAAGTAAAACGAAAACATAGTTAAAGGAGAAAACAGGAAGAGCACACAATTTCGACAGCAAAGTGTTGATTTTCCAAATTACTTTCCACCAAGAGGCTCCCACAGATATAAGAGCTTATAATTATTCCAAATAATAATTCTGTTTGCATACGCAGCTTACAGTCATCAGTCTGGCAACATTCACATGGGAGAAATTAAACAATATGTCTGGACTCTAGCCTCCTGGAGAGGAAAGCTATGGCAAATCTAGACAGCATACTAAAAAGCAGAGACATCACCCTGCCAACAAAAGTGCGTATAGTCCAGGCCACGGTTTTCCCAGTTGCAATGTATGACTGTGAAAGTTGGACCATAAGAAAGGCTGAGCACCAAAGAATTGAGGCCTTTGAACTCTGGTGCTGGAGAAGACTCCTGCGAGTCCCTTGGACTGCAAGGCATTCAAACCGGTCAGTCCTAGAAGAGATCAACCCTGACTGCTCTTTAGAAGGCCAGATCCTGAAGTTGAAACTCAAGTACTTTGGCCACCTAATGAGAAGGAAGGACTCGCTGGAGAAGAGCCTGATGCTGGGAAAGATGGAGGGCAATAAAAGAAGGGGATGACAGAGAATGAGGGGGCTGGATGAAGTCACTGAAGCAGTAGGCGTGAGCTTAAATGGACTCCAGAAGATGGCAGAGGACAGGAAGGCCTGGAGGAAGATTGTCCCTGGGGTCGCAATGGGTCAGACAGGACTTCGCAACTAACAACAACAACTGGACTATAGCAGGCATCAGCAGCAGAACACTTTCATAATTGCAATATCCCTTCTACTCGGAAACCGCTTCTGGACTTTGTGCTTGAGATGGAAATGATTTGGGGTTTTTCTAATTAGATTGTTTTGTCCAGACAGAAATGGCTAGTATGTATTATTATGTAAAAGTCAAAAGTTGAGGTTTTACTGTATTCTACTCTACCAAAATGAGTAGGAAGTCAATGCTTTCCTTTTTCTTTTCCCTTTTCCCTTACACTTTTTTCTCTCCCCTTTCTCCTCCCTCCGATTTTCTATTATTTTTATTTTTCTTTGTATTTTTATCTTATGAATAAAATGATAAAATTTGTCATCTCCAAGATTTCAAAATGGCAACATCGCTAAATAGCTTGTCCATCCTTACAACACTCGGTATTTTTATGTTTTCAAAAAAAAAAAGGGGGGGCTAATGGTAGAAAACTCTTGAGACCGATTGCCAAATCTTCTGTGGCTTTGGTTTTTTTTTTTACCTAATACCTGTAAAGGTATGTTGGAATGACCTTAAAAAAAAGGAGGAAGAGCAACAGGACAGACGATTATCACGTAAAAGGTATCTCAGTCCACAGAAAGCAAAGCGGTGCGAGAAGCACGTCAGAAGGGACCTACCCTGCTTCTCTGGAAAGTAAAAGTAAAGGAGAGTTAAAGAGCTTTCAGACTTGCAAGATTCTGTCCCTCTAACCCAGTGGTTCTCATCCTTTTTAATGCCGCGACCCCCCAACCGGTCATAAGTCGAGGACTACTCAACCGGTCGTAAGTCGAGGACTACTCAACTGGTGCAGCACCGTTTGCAGAATGGGACTTTTGGCGGGCTCAGCAGGGCAGAGACAGCCTGGACAATTCCTATTGGCTTTTGAAAGCCAATAGAATTAGTCTCTATTCAAGAGAGTCTATTCTATTGGCTTTCAAAAGCCAATAGAATAAAAGGAAGGAGCACAGCTAAGGAAAAGGGGGGAAAAATGGCGGACTGCGTTGTTTGGCGACCCCCCATGAAATGGTCGTTCGACCCCAAATGGGGTCCTGACCCATAGGTTGAGAACCACTGCTGTAACCTTACAATAAAGGTAGCAGGAACTCGTGGTTTTTATTTCTTGTTTGGACTGCCTGGACAACACTATCTTAAGAGCCGTGGTGGCAGAGTGGTTAGAATGCAGTATTGCAAGCTAGTTCTGCTGACGGCCAGCAGTTCGATCCTCACTGGCTCAAGATTGACTCAGCCTTCCATCCTTCTGAGGTCAGTAAAACGAGGACCCAGATATTTTACAGCTCTCTTGAACTTTCACCATTCCTTTTGAAGGACAAAAGGAGCCTCTTTCTCCTACGTTCTACTTTCCCAAGGCTGAGTAACTGTCTTCTCTTGCCCTCTTCCTCTTCAAGGTCAAAGCTAAATTCCTTTAACCACTTCCTCTCAATCTCAGGGGAATTTGACAGCAGACAAATTTGTAAATTCAACCCACGGCCTAAAACTGGGCTGGAAGAATCAAGATTTCAGATAAACTCAAGGCTGCTTCCAATGCTAGACTTAGATAAAGTACCGTGCCGTCTTAGCAGCTCAAGTGATGTGCAAATGCCCGGTGGTAAATACATGACTCATCAGATGTACAAGTAATCCCCAACTTTAATTCTGCAACTCAAGGCAAGCTTTGCCCAAACTTGATGCAAAATAGAAGGAGAAAGACAAGCTGCTTCCTTCACTCCACCCAAGGTCTATTATCTGCCCTTGAGAAGGATCAGAGAAGAAAGAGACAGGAAGGCAACAAACCTGCTCAACCAGATCTTCTTTCTCCTGGCCTTTGTCCAAAATCACAACAGTCACCAACTGTTCAAGTAACAAAGATGCTGTTGTTGATAGGTTGCCCTTTCAACAATATTCATTGCATTTTATTGACCATTGTTTGCACTGCTTGCAAACTGCAGGATATAACATAGCTAACAACAAAGATAACAACCAGGTAGATAACAACAAAGATGACTAGAGGGTCAGAGGCTATAACGTATGAAGAACAGTTGCAGGAATTGATTTTGTCCAATCTGATGAAAAGAAAGACTAGAAATGACATGATAGCAATCTTCCAATATTTGAGGAGCTGTCACAAAGAAAAGAAGGTCAACCAAAGCACCTGAAAGCAGAACAAGAAGCAACGGATAGAAACTAATCAAGGAGAGAAGCAACCTAGAACTAAGGAGAAATTTCCTGATAGTGAGAACAATTAATCAGTGGAATGACTTGCCTCCAGAAGATGGGTGGGGAGAGGTTGGACGGAGGACCAACGCCTTCTCTTCCAACTCTGTTATTCTGTTGTTATCCTGTTATTCTTTTGGATCACGTGTATCCATCTCCATCAAGCCCAAACAAAGTCCGGAATGGTATAGATATCCTGCCATAGGCAGGGGGTTGGACTAGAAGATCTAGAAAACTCCTTCCAACCCTATTATTCTATGCTCTGTGTTCTAACGTGTTAGCTGCCAGTTTTTGGCCCCTTCCATCCTCAAACAAAGAAGCCCTGCTCATTTCATAACTGAGGCCACTTGATCATGAGACAACTTCTGCTCGAGACAGGTGGAGGAAGAAAGGCAGTGAATGAACGCAGATCATATTCATACAGAAGTCCTGGTTTGTTTCATCATTTGGCACCACCTGTTTTTGCTCTTTTGCATTAGGCATTATGCAGTTACAGTCTCGTAGCTGTTTCTGTCTGCCTCCCAAGCACACCAGACAGGAAATATGACAAGATGAGCTAATTCTACTTTATTATAAGGCTACATTCACAGAATCTCGCAAGTCTGAAAGAACGCATCTCCTCCCACCATTTCTCTTTACTGCGGGATAAGCTAAGGTAGATCTTTTCTAAGTTTCTTTCTTTGCCCGTTGTTCATCTGCAGGCTGTCTCCTTATCTGATCATCTTCTAGGCAGCATTTTTTAAAACTCCCCCTTCCAAGGTCATTTTCACATACCATTAAGTTTCTATTTACCCCAAATTACAGCTGCATCAACAGTCTGCTAATCTATTTTTGCAGAATAAGCCATAATTGGCTGTTAACAACTGGCTAAGCTGTAAATCACAGTGCACAAGTTAAAGTGGGAGCACCTATTGATTTAAAAGCAAAACCCTTGGCAACATCTATGCCTGTAAATTTAACCTAGTTTTTAGTTAATACCGAGTAGGACACAATTCCTGGATATTGCATAGATAAATGCTTGCTATCTGTCCACTATTATCTTCCCCTCCCGCTACATGTTTGAATCTTATGATGTATAGCAGGGGTCTTCAAACATGGCCCCTTTATGACTTGTGGACTTCAACTCCCAGAATTCCTCAGCCAGGCACGCTGGTTGAAGAATTCTGGGAGTTGGAAGTCCACAAGTCATAAAAGGGCCAAGTTTGAAGACCCCTGATTTGTAGCTTTTTTTCTAGTCATCCACTTGCACTATGTGTCCAAAATATACAAATTTATGTCTGCTAATCAAAAACTCAGTTGTTCTGGACTGACTAGTTTGACTTGCAGTCCATGGTTTGCTTAGTAATTAAACATTTAACCTAGACAGTGGTCCTCAATTTACAACCATTTGAAGTTACAACAGACCCCATAGTCACGTAATCAAAATTCAGGCAGTTGACTGACTGACACATATGTACAAGGGTTGCAGCATCCTGTAATTGTCATTCGTGATCTTCCTAGTCAACTTCTGATAAATAAAGATTATAGGGGAAGCTGGATTCCTTAACAACTGCCTTGTTTAGCAATGGAAAATCTGGTCCCATTTGTGTTCGTAAATCAAGCACTACTTGTATATAATTTGGGCAAGATCCACTGTCTTTCTCCTTAAAAACAGAAGTTGTAAAGTTGTTTCCTTTTGATAAACACAACATTGCCACTTTTTCTTCCGTTTGTTTCTAGACAAACAAATGGGGAAAAAGTGGAAATATTGTAAATTACAATCAATAGCTTTTTTTCTACTTACAGAAAAAAAAGAAAATAAAATACCAGGAAGAATTATGAAACATTTCAAAGTTATTTACCTTGTTAATCATTCATGTTTTTGCTTTCTCCAAATATTAGCAGGGCAGATGTCCTTCACCAGGACCTGTTGAAAAATCAGTGTAGTCAGATTTTAAAAAGATAGAAACATGCCAATTGTCAGGGCCTGCAAAACAAAACCATCATTCTTCCTCACCTATAAATTTAAATGTATTCACAATGTATACCTGATATATTGATAATGTTAGATAACATTTGCTATCCATAGACAAGGATTTCTTTTCCTTGCACAGAAAAAGGATTCCACGCAATAAAAAATTGCCATGACAAAAGTAGTAGCCTTTTAGGATGTTGAAGTACTCAGATCAGCTGCAGAAACACAAATACAAACACTTGTTTTAAATCTGAATATTAAAGTCTTCTCTTTTATTATGTCACAAACCTTCGGTTTAAAACAGCAATTTACCACTCTATAACTACACCCCTGGTATTCCCTTCACATAATTGCTTCACAGTGAAAAATACAATGTGGGGGTCAGGCCACCTGAGCAAAACAGAACCTAAAATGTACCCAGGTTTTTAATAGTCACATTTTGTTACACATCAAACTAAACTTTGGGCTGTTTGAATAACAGGTCAGCAATAGGAATGTTATTTTAGGTCCTGATAACAGTGTTGACTTTGCTTTTGTGATGTTGTTATAGTGCACGGATCCATATTTGCAGGAGCAAATAGGCCAGACAGCAAAAACAGAACAAGATAATTGGGAATGTCTCAGGGGTAGCCTTTTTACACAAGATTTCAAAAAATATATTGCAAGCTGCAATGAGAATCACATTAAAGACATGCTACTTCAATGATCCAGGTTATTAAAGCAGTGGCTTCTTATTTTAGGGTCTGCTGGAGGCTCCCACAGATCTTCCTCTTTTAATGAACCACAGAAAGTGGCTGCATTCAAACAGGTTCCAAAACATTTCAGATTTCATATGATGAATGCACAGTTGTGGAACACGATACGCTCCTTGCTCCTTGCTCCTTCCTCCGTGACAGGTTAATCAACACAGTAAATAGAGAAACTGTTGCTCTATTAAGCTTACACCCTATAAGAAAGCTCATTTTGTAAAATCCGTTCCCAACATATGAGAGTAATAAAACGTTAGCAAATGCCCCCGCTATCTTCAAATTTCACTTTGAAAAAGTTGGGATATTCTTTAGAATCTTTTTCCTCCCCCCCCCCTTCCTTTCTACTTCTTTCATCTACATTTCTTTCCCACTTTATTAAATTTCTTCGTTCTTCCTGAATGCCAAACCTGCACTGTTTTAATTCGGCTTCAAAACTTCAATGAACATTTTAAAAAGGAAAACTTGGAACGCAGAGCCTCCTTTTGCAAAAATCCTTCTCTGCTGCGCCCAATTTGGCGCAGCACCTTTAAAGAGCAATCAAAATCGAATTACCAATCGATAAAATTTAATAGCAAGCAAAATGGCAAGCTGGGAACTAAGCATTCAATTCTTCCAGCTTCAGAGAGTTCTTTTGCAACTCCTGAACTCAGTTCCGTTTCCGAACCAGGGCTGATCTGCAGCAATGAATGGCTGATCACGTTTACACGACACTCCCTGGATAAACACCACCGAGAAAGAAATAAAAAGTTAAAATTAAAAAGCAAAACAAGCCAACCAACCCTGTATTTTCTTCAGATGTTCACCTGCGGACTTCCTGCACACTGAAACCTCCGCGAAAAGACAAAAACCTGCTTCTTTCCTCCTTGCAATTAATCACATTCCAGTTTGGGGCGTTAAGAAGAAGCATCAGCTGGAATACAGTATAGCAAAGAAAAGCAAGCTTCAATAGAAGCTTGACTCCGCCCCTAGGTCGCTCAGCCATGGGCTGCAGCGGGAGGCGTGAGAGGGCGATCAGGGAGCTGATTGGCCACTGTGGGGCAAAGCTACGCCCCCCCCGCGCCACTGCTAACTCGCGTGGGGCTTACCCAGCTGGGTTCTGCTGCCCCTAGCGGCCGCTCGGAGTTTTGCAGCCTCAACACACACTCTCCCCAGACCGCGGAGAGCTCCGAAGGCAACGGAACCCGCCCAGCAGGCTTCGCAGAACGTGTGAACGGGTAATGTGGAACGTGCTCGGGCCCCAGGTTCTTTGGGACGGCCGGCATCCCCCAGGGAATAACGCGAACCCGCATGTTCTCAAGGCGAAGCATCCGCACCCGTACAACCTCAGGAAGACTGGGAGAAAGACGTACCTCGAGTCGGGCGAGCCTGCCTGCTGAGCAACCGGAGCCGTGTGAATTGCTCAGAGGCGAGGCGAGGCGCGGCGCTTCTCCCCTCCTATACGGGAAATGACAGCGAGCCCAGCCCCAATCTTGCTTCCCCTCGACATAAACCCTCCCCGAGCCGTTTCCAGTGGGGAGGTGCCTTCCAAACAAGCCGATTTAGCCAGCCATCCCTTAACAAGCCTAGATGAAGTCACGCCTAAGCCGATGCCCAGCCATTCTCCCCCCCCCCAGTAACACACCCCCCCAGGACCGCAGCGCCTGCAAACACGGAAAGGTCCACGTGAGCGCAAGTACCCACGTTCTCCAAACCCGCGTGTAGAGCCGCTGTAGAGCCTTTTGGGTTGGAGAAAGGGAAAGCCGGCAGGGAGCAGCCACCCCCGCCCCGCCGGGATACGATACGCCCTTTGCTTATCTCTGCCAGCCTCGCTTTGTCCTCGGATGGCCTCGGGCGGAAGGGCAAGGGCGAGGTGCCCGCTGGGCTTCCGCTGCGGCGGGCAGCAGCCGGATTCCGACGTTGCACGAGGCAGAGAAGAGAACACGCAAGCTAACTCCCGGGTCGCCCAGGCGTTCTCAGCGCCTTGCAAAAGAGTTGCTTGCTCCTTGCGAATTGGCTGAGCAAGGCTACGTGTTTAAGCGCATTTTGGATGTGGTCGTAAAAACTAATCAATTACTAAACTCTCCGGCCTTGAAATGTCAGAAGAGAGCATTTGGCTTGGATTTCACCGAAACCCCCAAACCAGAAAATCCATTTTTTGCTTCTTCTTCTTTTTTTTTTTAAAGTGGAGGGAAGGAAGAAGGATGTTGATGGTGGTGATGGAAAAACCCAGGTTGACGTTTGTCACGCTTCCTGTTGCAAACCTCTCCAAATTAGAGGCTGGGGTTTTTCCATTATAACTTAGGCACTTCTGCACTGTTATAAATGTCAATGAGTTGGTAATTTTTGGCTCCTCTTCAGGTGTACTTCCCTATTTATATTTAGGGGAAATGCCAAAATGCATCTAAAAAAACCCAAAAAAAACTTGAGCAGCAAAGCCCTTTTTAAAAAGATGCTGGATGACACCCTGTGGATACCTTTAGTTATAATCTGTTAAAAAGCTGATGGACTATAAACTTCTGGAAAACCATTTGGTTGGTTTAAAAAGCCCAACTTCTTGTTGTAGCATCTGTAGTGTTTGTTTGTTTATTTATTTGCATAGACTGGTAAAATCATCTTTTCTTGTTACATAAGCTTCAAAAATGAACCAACATAATTTAAATAGACCTTTTGGTTTTCCTCCATATCTTTCTATTGTTCGTTATTTTGGTATCAGAGATCAAAAGGATCTCCAAGAGAGGTCAAGCCACTTCTGATTTAAACTCAATCATTGCAAGAGTCCAGTTACTACTGCGAATAATAATAATCACAAAATACAAAAACCCTCCTAAGCGTATGTAAATAGAGTGGACTGGAATACTTGGCACTTTCCTAAGCACGCCGTTGTGCTAGACATCCATTGGCGGGGTCCATTTTGCTGTCCAAATTCAAGGAGACCTAACTTTAAGTGGATTTGCCCCCCAATGGGATTTTCCCATGGATTTCATCTGGAAACAGAAATAGGGCAGTATCAAAAAATCTGCACCCTCCTAAGCATACCAATGTGCTAGGACAGTGATGGTGAACCTTTTAGAGACCGAGTGCCCAAGCTGCAACCCAAAACCCACTTATGCATCGTTGGGTGCCGGGTGGGTGTGGCCCATTGAGTGGGTGTGGCCCACTGAGTGGGCGTGGCTGCGGTGGTAACAGCAGACTGGGTGGGACTAAAAAGTTCAATCAATCAATTCCAACTTTGTAATATCTTTTTTTTCCCTGCGAGAAGTTGAAATTGACTGATTGATTGAACCTTTTTTTTTTTTTGCACACGGCAGCGGAGGCCTAAAGCGAAAAGGTTTTATAAAACCCAGCTGAAGGCCTAGGACTCGGGCGACGGTGCTGTGCCCACAGAGAGGGCTCTGAGTGCCGCCTCTGGCACCTATGCCATAGGTTTGCCACCACTGTGCTAGGCATCCACTCATAATGTCCATTTTCCTGTCCAAATTTATGGAGACCTAACCCTAGCCTAGCCCTAAGTGGATTTGGCCTCCCCCCCCCCGTGGGATTTTCCCATGCATATCACAAGGAAACTGTAAATAGAAATAGAACGACTATGGCCAAAGAAAGCGAAAATACTATCAATAGGCACTTTGCAGCCAAAACCATCTGGAGCCCCACTTGAATACTGTCAGCATTGACACAATCACCATCTGTCAACTGCAAAAGCAGCTTTACTTGGAACAACTTACATCTCACAGTGATACCTTTAATATTATTAAACAACAACCTTTACCTATCTCAGGTCCTTTAGAAGTGCTTGGTAGGCAGAAATATGTGCCAAATCCAATCTAAACCTCTGGCTGACTGAGTGGCCATCATAATAATTTAAACTTTGCACTGTCAAATGATTTGGGGAGGGTGATTTTCCAACGAAGGTGAATGGTTGAGGAAATGGGGTTCTCGGGGTCCTGTATGAGTCTGAACTGCTTCTCGGGGTCTCTGGAAACTTAGCTGTTTAATGATAGTTGACATGTACTGTTTGAAAAGTCTTCGGCTAAATCTCTAGGGTTACATTAAAGAAGGAAAACTGTATAAGTCTTGAAGAACCATTGTTAATCAGTGGTTGGATTTGCTTGGTTAGAGCTCAGTGCAATGTGTAAACTCTTCAAGAAAATGTGGTTAAGCTCATTGCAACTTGCTGTGATATGTGAATCTAAGTTTACAAAGGCCGGGAATGAATTCGTGGTTCTCAAACTAACTGACACTATCCCTCTCTATTATCCATACTGGTTAGGACCAAATTGGAGTTTTAGCTCAACAGCATTTTTGAAGGATTATGGTTCTCTATCTTTGGCAAACATCTTCGGAAAGGATTGTCTGAAGCGGAAAAATATAGCATGAAGGGCAATGAAGTTCAAGCAAAGCATTGAAGTATTGGCGGCTTTAGTCAAGCACAACTTTCTATTGCCTATTTTAGGCTTTGTGGCTATAAAAGCGCATCTGAGGACAGCTAATACTGATGGCTGTGAAAAATATATTGCCTTTTAACACCCATTAATTTTCAAGTAGAAATATTGAAGGACTTTTCATTCTGGTTTCCTAAATTATCCCAACTATTTTTCTACAGTGGGTGACAGGTAACGTGAACATAAAATGGTCTCAGTTCTCCAAAATGCTGGTCCTTCCATAATCCAAGGGACAACTCACAGACAAGCTGAGAAGGCTTGGAGACCACTTGCAATTTTCAGTAGTTCAGGAAAAAAAAAAAACTGGAAGAAAGGAAGGAAGGAAGGAAGGAAGGAAGGAAGGAAGGAAGGAAGGAAGGAAGGAAGGAAGGAAGGAAGGAAGGAAAGGAAGGCAGGAAGGAAGGAAGGAAAGGAAGGCAGGAAGGAAAGGAAGGAAGGAAGGAAGGAAGGAAAGGAAGGCAGGAAGGAAGGAAGGAAGGAAGGAAGGAAGGAAGGAAGGAAGGAAAGCAGGCAGGCAGGAAGGAAGGAAAGGAAGAAAGGAAGGAAGGAAGGAAGGAAAGGAAGGAAGGAAGGCAGGCAGGAAGGGAAGGAAGGAAGGAAGGAAGGAAGGAAGGAAGGGAAGGAAGGAAGGAAGGAAGGAAGGAAGGAAGGAAGGAAGGAAGGAAGGAAGGAAGAAAGGCTCATGTTCTTAAAAACGTCTTCTGTGGAGGTCTGGAGTGGTATGGATGCTTTTCAAGATATCATGTCAAACTCAGTAGATGTCCTGTAGTTGTCTTGCATTTTAAAGCTTAGGATGAAAATCAGTCTTAAAGTCCGCTGATATTAGAAATTCTCTTTAATGTTCTTCGTTATCCTTTTTCATTCAATCTTTTTATACCTTGAAGGAGGCCCGAACAACCCTCCCCTTAAGAGGCTGAGGGGGGCGAAAATTATTCACCATCGGGATCTTTTCGTCTTCCTCTGTTGTAAAAAGGAGACATCTGAATTTCTCCATCTGTAAACACCCGAGAAACAGCATTACAGATGGAAACACAGTGGGTAACACGCCAACAAACAAACAATACCAAAGAAAAGTGAGCACTTTCATCATTTCTTTTTTTCTTTTGTTTCATTCTGTTCATCCACTAACATGCATGACTAGATTACCCATCCAGTGTTATTTGGGGCGGGGTTTTTTTGCGACAGATTTGCAAAATTTGATTTCAAACAATTAAAGCATCGTAATAGCCAAACAAACACACACAAAAAATGCTACATAATAATAATAAAATAATAATAATAATAATAATGATAATAATAATAGTAGTAGTAGTAGTAGTAGTAGTGGTAAAGTTAGAAGGGACCTTGTAGGTCATCTAGTCCACCCCCCTGCTCAGGCAGGAAACCCTACACCGTTTCGGACAAATGGCTGTCCAGTCTCTTCTTAAAAACTTCCAGTGTTGGAGCATTTACTGCTTCTGAAGGCAGGTTGTTCCACCGGTTAATTGTTCTCACTGTCAGGAAGTTTCTCCGTAGTTCTAGGTTGCTTCTCTCCTTGATTAGTTTCCACCCGTTGCTTCTTGTCCTGCCTTCAGGTGCTTTGGAAAATAACTTAATTCCCTCTTCTTTATGGCAGCCCCTGAGATATTGGAATACTGCTATCATGTCCTCCCTTGTCCTTCTCTTCGTTAAACTAGACATACCCAATTCTAGCAACCGTTCCTTATATGTTTTAGCCTCCAGTCCCCTAATCATCTTTGTTGCTCTTCTCTGTACTCTTTCTAGAGTACATGTTAGTACAATGCACATATAATGTTTTTAAATCTAAAATATAGCAACCAAAAAGAAATTTATATAAGTAGTTAAAGAAAGAAACAGTTTCACGGAAAACACAATATAACACGGCTTGTGGCAATCAAACAAATATGCCCTTGTCTGATGCTTAAAAGACTTCTTTTTTTCAAAGATTACATTCAGAAATGATGACAATACAGCTGGTCTTCAACTTACAACAGTTCATTTAGTAACCGCTCAAAAAAGGGACTTCTACATCCTCATCACTCACCGTCAAGATTTACCTGTTTCTCTGATATTTGGATAGATTCCTTCAGGATTATCCAGGTTACACTTTCATGGAGGGGCGGCGTTGTCAAAGAGCCGACATAAGTCCAGTATTTTTTACAGGAAGGAAGCAGAATGCTTGGGTTGAAAGATCTGAACTCAGCTTTTGTTCCCTAGGAGAAGATTCAGCAGGAAAGAGAACGTGTTATCTGACACGGGAGATTTTGATTTTTTTTAAAAAAAGAAAATTAAGAGAGAACATCACTGGTGAAATTCATTGCTGTATGTTTGGAAGAGTTAGCAGTAAAAGGAAACCAGGCTGGCACCAAGGCATATCTAAGCATTGGCTCAAAAGGTACATAAAAGAAAGGTGTACATAACAGACAAAAACCCAATAAGAAATAATGTCAGTATTCATGTCCGTATAATTCAGGAGCAATCTACTTTGAAAACTTACTTTAAATTTGACCATGTAGAAGGCATCAGTCAATCTGTTCATAGAAGCATGTTCTTGTCCAACCTAGATGTCGAAAAGGCCAGAGAAGGTACAATTTAAAAGGAGAGGCAATTACAATACAGAGTAAGTTAATGACTGCAGCCAGTTTTGGTCACCCTATCACAAAAAAGAAAAAAATTCAGAGAAGAGCGAGTAAGATGATCAAAGGTCTGGAGACTAAAACATATGAAGAACGGCTACGGGACTTGGGTTTGGCTTGTGCTAGTCTAAAGAAATAGGGGAGACATGATAGCAGTGTTCCAGTATCTGAGGGGCTGCCACAAGGCAGAGGGGCACAGGTTCATCAAAGTACCAGAGGGAAGGACGAGAAACAATGGTTGGAAACTGATCAAAGAGAGAAGCAACCTGGAATTAAGGAGAAACTTCCTGACAGTGAGGACAATCAACCAGAGGAACAACTTACTCCCAGAAATCGTGGGCGCTCCATCACTGGAGATTTTTAATAAGAGTCTAGACATTCACCTGTCTGAGACGGAATAGGTTCTCCTGCTTGAGCAGGGGGCTGGACTAGAAGACCTCCAGATTCTATTCTATTCTATTCTATTCTATTCTATTTTATTCTATTCTATTCTATTCCATTCCATTCCATTCCATTCCATTCCATTCCATTCCACTCCACTCCACTCCACTCTAATTCTTCTCTCTATGGCTTGTAGACTTCTGCTCTGCTCTTTAAACCATTCACATTTTTAGAAACACACTGAGGTTACAATAAAAGGGAGGGGAGTAATGATCACATCTTCCCTTTTCTTTCCCTTGTGCCTGGAATGGCTTTCTGAGGTGGGGTGTCTAATGCCACTAACTCACTCAGTCATATTCTTCTTGTTCAAAGCCATGTTTTTGGCACTTCTCTCTCTTAACCCAGTTCACCTCCCGATTTTGTTCACGTGGGAAAAACAGTAGGAGAGTGCTTATGTATCTTGCTTTGAGTTGTACCCTAGCAAAATGGTGGAATATCAATTGCAGCACATCAATTATTTGATGAAACAAATAAATAAAATATCCTTGAAGACTTGATAGCCTCCTGTTATACACTTTCAAAATGAAAAGCTGTTCATCTCTGCACAGAGAGAAACTCGTAGCATTGCAGACACTGTAGCAGAAGAGTTGTGTGAGCTGATGTGGCCAAAACAAAGTTCAAGAGGCGCCTGGCCACTCTCTTTTCCAACTAACAGATTTTATTTAACAGTTACAAGCTTTTGTAGCTGCATTATCCCTTTTAGTTAAATCTGTTGGTTGGAAATATGCTATTTACTGGAGTCCTCTGGACTTTCATATCAGAAGGGCTGGATTTATATAACATATTGAAGAAAACAAACAACTCACATGACACCATAGGAAAGATGTGACCTCAGATGCTGTACAGCAGAGATGTCCAATCTTGGCAACTTTAAGACCTGTGAATTTCAATTTCCGGAATTGACTGGAATTCCAGAATTGGCTGGCTGGCGAATTCTGGGAGTTGAAGTCCATAAGTCTTAAAGTTGCCAGGGTTGGGCGCTCTTGCTCTACAGCATGTGCTGCTGAGTGATAAGCATACAACACATACAGGAGACTGACATTCTCACCTCTAAGAAAATCCCAATCACGGCTAGGCCGTCTGGGGCAGCTGCAGCTTCTCCAAACGTTGTGTATTTCTTGGCATTCCAGTGAACTAAATGGAGCTTGGGAAGAGAATGAGACAACACCATTATCCCAAACCTAAACAGACAAGGTCTTGTTCTTCCACCACATCAAATAGTGACCTAAATGTATTGCTTTGTTCCAAAAAGGAAGTTAATTTTTTGGGAAGATCCAATAACTTTGGCAGATAATTATATTTTTGCCAGGTAAGTTTGCCAAAAATGCTAAGGAAACTCCAGCTTTATAAAAGAGTCTAGAGCAATGTTTCTCATCTTGACAACTTTAAGAACTGTGGTCTTCACAACTCCCAGAATCCCCCAGCCAGCCAATTCTCAACCATACTAGCTGGGGAATTTTGAAGCCCACACTTCTTAAAATCTCCAGATTTGAGAAACACTGCTCTAAGTCTAAAGATCCATATATATGAATTAAAAATATGAGCTTAAATCAGTGACTGCCACTAAACCTTTTTATAGCCACTGGATCCACATAGAGGAAAAATAAAAGAACAACTCCTGAACATAGCAAGATTTGCAGGATATTCACATATAATGGAAAAGTGAGTCCTAATAAAACAGATCCAAAAGGAGAGACCTGACAGTATAAATGCAGTCTGCTTGTGTGTGGTCTAATATATTAAGTGAATCTATCCACTGTAACTTCCAAACCATAGTTTATCAATAAGCATGTGTGAACCCAGCCAATTGTCAATAAACCGCAGTTAAGCAAAACATAATATGTCATGTGAAATTTTACTTGTGTAAAATTTAATTAACCATTTGCTGTTTTTCACATTATTGCTAAACAAAGTATGATACAGAACAAGCCTATTCGTCCAGTTTTATATAGAACTATTAAAATAACTTTATTTTTAAGTGATCACATATCTATACCAGGCATAAAACTTTGCTTTTAAAAATCGGGAGATCATTCAGCATGTTTTTGGCTAATCTGAGAGGTCTACAGATGCTCCATCTTCTTTATGCTTCCTTTTGTGCTCAGCTTTGCTCTGTCAACATTTTTCAAATAACTCACCTCGCAAGGAAAAGATTTCCCATTAATGGTGTGTTCGGATCCAGAATTCTGGCTTGTCCCCCAATGAAAATGGAATTGTTTCAGCCTATAAGGATTTTCCAAAGGGCCTCCACTGATAGCTGGAACCCAAAAGGAAAGCAGAAATAGATAGATGTTCCATTAGAGTAGTAACAATCATTGTATTCCTTTCTTCCCATCTTCATTGGCCCAAAGGGCAGCTGGTGTAGTGGTTAAGGTATCAGGTTAGAAACTGGGAGACCCTGAGTTCTAATCCCATTTTAGGCACAAAATCAGCTGGGTGACCTTAGGCCAGTTTTTCCCTCTCAACCCTATGAAATAGGCAATGGAAAACCACTTGCAAGATCTTGCGAGGAAAACTATAGGAACTGATCCAGGCAGTCATCAAGAGTAAAAAACGGACTTGAAAGCACATAACAGAAGTAAAAAACTAAAGGGATCACAATAAGAGAGTTTCTGTAAGGGAGGACGCTTTCTAGATTTACCTTTTTATTTACAACACACAGCAGAAACAAAATAGTCTTTCAAAATGGTAGGTTTTGCTTCTGAAACCTAGACAGAGATCCATGTTGTAAAGTACATTCCTTTCAGCCTAAGCTCCAAAACTCATTGACTGGCTCATATACTGCATTAAGTCAATTTGCTTCACCAGGGTTTATTGAGTATATAACAATTGTCTAGTGTCACATCACAGCCATAAATGTTGCGATGCTTTCATACCTTCTTTGGAAGCAAATGTGATAACACCAAGGGTCATCCACAGAAGCCCGGACTTCAAGATGGCCAATTCTAAAGTCCAAAATTATTTTAACAATGCATTGGCTGAAATCCGTGCAAAGTCATCCATTTTAGTCCCTTCAAGGGCACTGAGTCCTAATGCTGTGCTGAGATCTGCAATTTTTCCCTTGCAAAAGAGACTTCGGATGTATTAGCTCATTCTCAAGATGCTTGAGAATCTTTCCAATGGCTACATTCTGTGTATCACTTCCATCTGAATGGCCTTAAAGATGGAATAAATTTCTGAATGATCGCTGGCATTCTAATTAACCCCAGAGCCATTAACTGTTTCTTTGGTTCATTTTACAAAGTATGGCTGTCTTGTGTAGAAAGCTAGAGGGGGTGAATGGGTGGGGAGGTTTTAAAAATCAAACTCGCTCACCTGTTTTGTCATCAACATCGTTGAAGTCCACCATGACTGAATGTCCATTGTTGGAGATGCCAAGAGATGAATCTGATTCATAGGAAATATTGAGAGGCTTCAAACTGGGGTCATAGATAGCTTGCATGGAGAGGATATCAATTGGAGATTGACGGCTGCCTTGGGCAATGGGATAAGACTTATACCATAGAGAAGGTCCTTTGGGGAGAAAGAAAGAACAGCTAAGAATGTCTTTCAAAATCATGGAACTTTTTCCTCTTTTCCTACATTTTTGGAGTCCTATTTGTTTAGCAGAGAATCCTTCTGTTGAGGAGGTCACTTTAGCAAAACATTGCAAGTTCAGAAGGAGGATTCGTAGCTTACAAAAGTCACAGCCACATCTCCTGGCATTTCTTGTGAAAAGATTTGAAATAGGAGAGATTTATGGATATCAGCGCAGTTTAAAAGTCAGATGATGATGATGAACAGCAACTACTTTTAAGGCAAAGATGGACTTCTGCTTGTTCAGAGTGCAAACCATAAAGCTGTTAGTGATTGCATCTGATAAAGTTGATAGTGGTATCTTGGGCGAAGAGATAAATCTAATGTGCAATTCATCAAGGCAAAGTGCTCACTTTTAAAACAACTACTAAGTTAACTAGAATCACTCTCTCTTTTTTGCCTTGTTTGGGATGATTTTCAGTATCTCCAAATCAACCAGGAGGGGTATGGTCTGCCCTCTTTCTTCTTTATGGGGTCCAAATGCTTCTGCCCAAGACTGCCATCTTGATTAAGAGGAAGAAGAAGTCCTGGGTGAAAGTTCACTCAGGAAGTGATAATCAAAGGCTAACTTAGATCTACTGTGAACAAATAAATGCTAGTGAACTGTTACGGGTGGACATGCAATTCATGCCTTGCTCTGCTTGGAAGACATTTGTAAGATCTCAAGTCAATGGTGTCACCTAAGAGTCTTGCTTGGGGACAATCTGCATGAAATGCTCAGCTGCTTCCTTAGGAAAGTGGCAGCCGTGGGATTCAGCCAATTCGCACCACTTCAGCAGAACCAGTAGCTCATTTTTTTGTTGCCCAGGCCCAGAATGGACTTCCGGAAGAGGCATCCACACAGAGAACCAGTTGTTCACATATCTGAATCCCACCACTGGAAAGTTGTCAGCCTTTGAATAGCTCTTCAAAGGAAATTGGATGAGTTAGACAATCTTTTCCCCTAATAAAGGAGAATATTTGTAGCTCAGAGTTGAAATTTAGGGATCCTTGGTGTTTTTTTAGCTTGTTTGTTTGTTTGTACATGTGTTGTTACCCAACTAGGTCATAATCAATGCTGATGGTAATTTACCAGCCTATTCTGATGATGTTACCTAGTTGGTTAATGAAATGTCTGAGGGGTCCTTGATGTTGCTCTTTGAACTTGGTTGTTTTTTTGCAGGTATTTCATTACCCAAACTAGGGAACATCACCAGGGCTAGATCTTTTCCCCTTATCACACAACTGGTCTGAGATAAGCCACAAAGAACAAGTCCACATACAGAATTCAGTAGTGCTGACCGAACTCTATCTTCAACCTTGGATCAGCATCCTTAATTATCCCTGAAAGCACCATAGTTACTCATCCAACACCTTCTTGCCATCTCCTGCCCGAAGTAGTTGCCTTCTTAAAACTAATTGTAAGTAGTTGCTCCTAAGGGTAAGGCAAGTCACACACCTTCTGGCCCAAAGTGCTTTGTGGACCATTTGCTTCCGATTCCTTATTTTGAGAAATGTGACCTCTTCCCTAATCAGCATTGAAGCATCCATGTTCCCTAGACTTTTTTCTCCGGTTTACTGTGTCTACAGAATAATGTTTGATCAGCATTACTTGCAAGCATCTTTTTAATGGGTTTCTATATTTGGAAAAGCCAATAGAATGGACCCCAGCAAAAGGTCTGAGTGGGATTACAGCCTAGGAACATTTTTTTTCTTAATAAAAATACTTGAACAAAAAGCCCAAATGTCCCCCAGACACAAAATTATAAACAGGGGAATATTTTGACCCAACAGTAATGTAAAAGTTGCTTAAAAGTTAACCCTTTCATTCCCTGTTGCTTATTGCCTGATGGGAATGGGTACGGGATGTAGGCATAAAGCCAAGCAGTACAATAAAACTATATTGAGTAGAAAGAAGAAAAGATAGGATGCAGAGAAAAGAGAAGAGGAAAGGTTGTGCAAATCACCTACCATCTTTCTGACCGTATCCCCAGCAGTTATGGCCTGTCATTCTGTGGACGGCTTCCTTCTGCCTGGCTGCCAGATCATTTAATCTAAGCGCATCAGCTTACCTGCCTTTATAAGCGCTCACTTGCAGGACAGTATTGGGCTCTTAAAGAGACAGCAACAAATTCCTCTCTCAAATCCACTTTGCACAACTAGAATTTATATGTGTGCCTGTCCCAGGAAAAGATCAAACTACTGCATTTTTCCTTCATGTGCAGATTACCGATTGTAATTCTTCAGGTTAAGATGCCCATCAACAAGGACAGCATGGGACCTGAGAGACTTTGGTGTTTGAAGTCTTACGGATAGCTGATTATCCTAAGGTGATTAATAGTTCTGAATTTAAAGCCAGTTGGAGAGCAGAAGCAAGGATCTTTTTCATTGTTCATTGTTCAGTTGGGATTCAAAATATATTGTTCCAAACACTCTGGGATCAGAATGCGGATTTCTGATTGATTTGTGCTTATGGAATGAAGGGTTGGGGGACAGTACATATGAATTAGCATGAGAAACAATTTTTTGAATTTGTTAGACCTAAGCCAATGTTTTGTACCATTTGAAAGATTTAACACATTTATTATAGACTTTATGATACTACAGACTGCCATAAAGTAAATAAATCAAGTTCTTAATAGACTGAAACTTTCTGAACCACGGTCCATTTATAATTTCACCTGGAATTATGGTATAATAAAAGCAGCTGTTTTAAGTATCAAAAGACTCCGGTTAACAGGCCAGTATAAAACAACAGTGGGATTGTTTTGGTTTTGCTTTAATGTGTAAGCCAGCCATTAATAGTAGAGTTTCCCTTGCACAATAAATAGACTTGATGGGTCAGCACTACATGTACATCAAGCCAATTGCATCTTAATCAAAGTATGGATTAAATGCAAAATGCAAATGTAGATTATACATTGGTTTTTTTTTTTTGAACCTTCTGAATGGATGTTACATTTTTCAGGACATCTGTAAACTTTTCTGACTTAAAACATCTCCTAAAATCAAAGGTGCTGGTCATCTGAAGCCTGCAAAAGTTTGTTTGTATGTGTGTTTGTATGTGTTGTGAGTGTGCGTTTTCACATGCACACACCTTTTATGAACGAAATCTCATCACTACTCCATTCAAGGACAAATTAGTCTCTGCAGCACAGGCATAACACTGTCCTTGAACAAGAGCAATAATATGAATTTAGTTCCTGCTATGTTATTATCGCTTAGTGAAGAGTAAGGTGTTATAAAACAATTTATCACTGGATTTGATAATGAGAAACACCATTCAACAGCCCATTTTGAAATATATGTGTGGGAACCGTGGTCTGGTTTGTGAAGCAATTTATGTTGTAGTCCACAGATGTACAATCTGAGCCTGCTTTGGCATTGCCACCACTGAGCTCTTAATACTGTTTTTAATGGGACACAAATGATCAAAGAGGTGATCAAAGAGCATCTTATTAACTTTAACATTACTATATTCAAACCAGTTTTACTTGCAAAATTGTGGCCATTGCAATGTCCCCAGTTATCTCATTGTGATTTCCAATGCCATCTTCCCACAAATAAAGTCAATGGAGAAGCCAGCAGGAAGTGGTATAGGGTTACCTGCCTGAGCAGGGGATTGGACTTGATGACCTCCAAGGTCCCTTCCAACTTCATTACTACTACTACTACTATTATTATTGTTATTGTTGTTATTATTATTATTATTATTATTAGTCCGAAGTCACTGCTGCTCCCACTGCTATTTTGCCCACTCATGGTTATTCTGTTTATCTGTTTACGGTAGAAAACACTGACTTATTATTGAAGTCCGTTGCTGCAACTATACTTTTTTCTCAGAAGCTTTTCTTAAATGATAAACCCAATCTACTTGAAGTGAATTATGTTTATTTACATCTCCCTTCAATTGTTGTACCACGTGCCTTCTCTCACCCAGCTCAAACTAAGTAATAGCTAAAGAGGAACTTAACACTTAAGACACGAAGGTGCTCTCAAGCGGTTTACATACCGCCCTGCCCCAATTGCAAGGTGTCTGCCACTGACTGCCCTCTTCTGATCTCAGTTTCTGTCTTCCCAATTCAGCCTGGCATTCTCCCCCCCCCCCCGAACCTAAACAGGTTTAGCTTCTCAAAATCCTTTCTCGCAGCGCCGAATGGATCTTAAGATGCTAAACCGGCTTAGGACCGCGCCGGGAGGAGCAGACACCCACCCCGGTTGAGTCGCAAGCCTGCATCCGCACTACGACCTTCCTCCTACAGGGCTGCCCCCAGGAGCATCGGGTGTGTGTGTGTGTGTGAATTGCAATTATTTCTTCTGATCGGCGGTTCTGGCTCGACCCGCCTTTTGCATCTCAAAGCGCATCTCTCCGGCTCCCTCCGCATCCCACGGGCAACGCCAGGGAACAAGCGGGATTTTGCGCAGGCGCAGAAGCCGCGCTCTCGGTCGCCCTCTCCGGCGGCGCGGGGAAGCGCAGGAGGCCCAGCGGCGTCATGGCGTCCGGGCGAGCGGCGGGCAGGCTCAGCCTGAAGGAGCAGCGCTACGACCGGCAGCTCAGGCGAGCAGGAGCCGGCGGGGTCCGGCTGCCAGCCGTGGGGGAGGAGGGCTCTCTTAGACGCGGGTCGTGGGGCGGAGGAGGAGGAGGGCAGAGGGTCAGACTGTCCGTTGGAGTGCCCGGGCTTTGCAGCCCCCGCGGCTGCTTTTGGCTCCGCTTCTCTCGCGCAAATCCCTTCGCCGCCTCCTCCTCTTCTTCTTCCTTCTCCTTCTCCTCCCTTCTTCCTCCCTTCTTCCTCCCCCTCTTCCTCCCCTCCTCTTCCTCTTCTTCTTCCCCCTCCTCTTCCTCCCCCTCCTCTTCTTCTTCTTCCTCTTCTTCCTCCTCTTCTTCCCCTTCTTCTTCCTCCTCCTCTTCCTCTCCCTCTTCCTCCTCCTCCTCGTCTTCTTCCTCCTCTTCTTCTACTCTTCTTTCCCGTCTTCCTCCCCTTCTTCCTCCTCTTCCTCCACCATCTCCTCCTCCTCCTTCTTCCTCCCCCTCCTCTTCCTCTTCCTCCTCTTCTTCTTCCTCCTCTTCCTCCACCATCTCCTCCTCCTCCTTCTTCCTCCCCCTCCTCGTCCTCCTCTTCCTCTTCCTCCTCTTCTTCTTCCTCCTCTTCCTCCACCATTTCCTCCTTCTTCCTCCCCCTCCTCGTCCTCCTCTTCTTCTTCCTCCACCATCTCCTCCTCCTTCCTCCTTCTTCCCCCTTCTCTTCCTCCTCCTCCTCTCCTCCTCATCCTCTTCTTCAATTCTTCCTCTTCCTTTGGCTCCTGTTTGCCTGGATCTGCTGGATGGAGGATGGCCATTCATTGGCCTGTTTCTTCTCTTGGTTTCTTATTTCTGGATTCCTTGTTTGTTTATTTGTTTATCCTTCGTTCCAGAGATAAGAATCAGTGTGCATGTTTTATATTTGCATATCTAGTTGTATGTGCATCTTCTATCCATGCATGTATATGCACATGTTACGTGTAGGTCTTATATGTATGTGCATATCTGCAGGTGTCTAGGCGTGGTACATAAAATATTCCTGTATAGGAACGTTACATATGTAGAGTATTATACACACACACACAAACATGCTGTGTGTATAATAAATATATTTCCATTTCAAATATGTTTTGTTCATTTCACATACGCACTATTTATCTGTGTGTCTCTCCATCTGTCCATCCATCCATCCATCTATAAATATAATATGTAAATAATGCAGTGTGTGTATAAACAAACACATAATAAAATCCTCATTTCAGGAAATCTATGAGGCTGCAGCAATAAATATGTTTGACCTATTGTTTTTTATATTTGTTTTGTTATTGGTTCATTTATTTTATGCTTCTGTTTTACTGTCTATATACTGTCTTTCGATACATTTTTTTCTCTTATGTTTTAAAGTCAGAAATGTTTGTCCAATGAAGTAGCTTTATTAACCATATTTTAAAGCAACCATTGGTGATATGTCAGTTTCGTATAGCCTTCTCTCTAATTGTTGGTCTTGAAAGTCATATTTTTTGATGTTGCAGGTTATGGGGTGATCATGGACAAGAGGCTTTAGAATCTGCTCACATTTGTGTGATAACTGCAACAGCCACCGGAACAGAAGTCCTCAAAAACCTAGTTCTACCAGGTACAGGTGACATTTAAAAGTTGTAATGGGTCCCCAGTAAAGTTGTGGTTTGATGTGATCACTGATTTGGTTTCTTTAAGGTATTGGATCATTTACAATCATAGATGGAAATCCAGTCACTGGGGAAGACGTTGGAAACAGGTAATATGCTTTCTCCAAATATTTGGTAATATTTGTCTCTTGCGGTGTAAGCTACAGAAACATACAAAAGCATAGTTGTTTTTTCAATAGCTAAAATACTTACAAACTTCAAGCTCCACTTTAATATATGAATAAAACCCATTAATGTTGACTTTTCCTAATTCTTTCACTACATTCAAATGAATATTTGTATAAAATCAACAGTACATTTGTTTCTGTAGCTATTTTTGTTTTGAGATTACTGTAGCCAATTATGCCAAGAATTTCATTTATTTTTAATTATAATATATTTGTTCAATGGGATTTTTTTTTTATTCCCATTTGCAATGGTAGACGGGAGATTTTTTAAAAAATTCTGGTTACTCCATGAACTACAGTTAGATTAAGTGCCATTTTTAATACTTCCACATTGTTTAACTGGAGAGAGCACTGATAGATTCATAATATTCTCTGTTTTATTTTCAGTGTTTTAAGGTTGGTAAAAGCATAATTTCAGGCCAGTTTCAAACTTGGTGGGAATATGGAACAAAAATGTGTGAAATACTTTCTAATGCTATAATTATAGTTTACTTTGATATGTAACCCTTACTGCTTACCAATTTTGATCATTTCAGTAAATACTGTGTTGAACCTTTGTCAATATTCACATGCCATTGTTCACCTCATTCCTTGAGACCATTTTTTATAGCATGGTAAAATCAACTGAGATGTTAAGTTGTACATCTTTAAATAACAGAGATTTGTATAGACTAACCCTGAAATAGTCTGATTGGAATTATTGGTTTTATTTATGTGAATCTACAAATCGGAAAGCATACACAAATGTATTAGTTTCAAGCAAGTCTTTAAAATGTTGCAAGATTTAAATGTGTTAGAGAGGCTTTCTATGAAGTACATTGTTCATTGTTTTATTTTCAAAAATTGTGATTATAATAAAATTCTAAAGGAATAATTTCTTCTTTTTTAGCTTCTTCCTGCAAAGAAGCAGTATTGGTCAAGTAAGGAAATCCTAATTTTGTTTATTTATGTGAGTGATTATGTAATGCATAGGATCCATTCAATTAAATGATTTTTCTTTTCCCTTTCATAATAAACATACACATACACAGATCTTGTGTGATTAATAGGGCAATTGTATACATATCTATAAAAAGGTGATCCCCTTGTGAGAACTTATTCATAAGTAAATATATGTTGCAGTCTAAACTTATATACTTGTGTGCCCCACATTTAATACAAATAAGTAGATTTCTTAGGTAGAAGCGCATGTAATCCTTTACAAATGATTAGTTCTGATTAGTTAATTCACTTAGAAGATCTAGTCATGTGCACTTGCAAACAAGAGTGTTCTTCTGAACAAAACTTAAAATGATTTTTTGTTCCCTGTTGTGTGAGTTTGTATGCCCTCCTTATCCTTTGCTGGACATTTTCTGGTATGCCCTAAATTATACATGTCTGTGTTTTTAAAAGGACTTTCCCTAACATTTTCCCATTAATATTTATTAAAGCATCTTTATTCATACTTCTCTGAATGTCATAATCTGTCTAAAATTACATCTCTCCAAAAATCCTTAGTTTGGAATTTGTAACATGCAATACAATTTTGTGCCCCATTTGTTGAAAGGCGGGGGTGGTTTTTTTTAAAAAAAATTATATTCTCACCTTTCAGGATAAAATTATAAATCTGTTTATGGCAGTCACAGAAATATAACTCATCTGCTTATTATTTTTAAACAGAATCGAGCACAGTGTGCCACAGAACTGCTGCAAGAGTTGAATAATGATGTCTGTGGAAATTTTGTGGAAGAGGTTTGCATTAAACATTTTTACAATAGTTACACACGTGCTAACACGTCACAAAAGTATGTCAGCTATTACTACCACAATATAACATCAGATCTTGCTCTTGTGTAGGCTCAAAGCAAAATAGTATCTTTTTTCTGGCTTCAAGCAACAAATTCTTTTAAAGATGCATATGATTTCATATCCTAAGCAACATTAATTCATTCCTACAGTGGTTATTATATTGATACAAATCTATCATATTGATTCTAATGTATTTAATAATAGCCAAGCTAGAATAGTCTCGATCAAGGACACTTTTGTCTGATCAATGTCGGTGAGGTATGCCAAGTGTCCGGGTTGATGGACAGAACTGAACTGAAAACATTTGAGTTTAGATTATTGTGCTAATTAAAAATAGGCTTGCAGTTCATGAAGAACTGCACTGAGCTAGGAAATGAAGTTTTAATTCTGGATCTTTCTATATTTATTACTTTATGTTGCAATACAGATGAGTGTTTTCTATGTTTTTTTCAAGAACCCAGATAAACTTCTAGACAACGATCCTTCTTTTTTTTGTCGGTTTAATGTAGTGATTGCAACACAACTGCCAGAAAGGTAAGCTGGAATGAAATTGATGTTATTGTCTTTATATATACGTCTGTGTGTTTTATTTTACGTTTGTTTTGCAAAAATGGAAATTACGTATTTTTATTTTGAGCATATAATTTCCATAGATGGTTATTTTTCTTTATCCTTTACTTGCTACATCTCTGCCTCAATTCAAACACGGTTTATTAATTAAGCCACAGTGTCTGAGTTCGCCTATTACACTAACTCAAAGAAATAATATTTGATTTAATGTGATGTGTGGTCTCATTGTCCATCCATGTCTTGTCATTCCCATGTACCATTGGCTTTAAAATTGTGTGAGTGTGGATCAGACCAGCTTCTTTTTGATTTTCATAATACGTGAAGGTCAAAAATCAAAGTTGTTCTATCAAAAAAACCCTGAGAATTTTCCATGTATTTGCTTGAACACAAGTACAGATATAACATGCCTTCTTTCAAAGAATTGTTATTTTATATGTAATATAAAATTATAAATTGTTTAAATAAATTAAAAAATACTAGAAGGTTGCAAGCTAAATGGTCTCAGTTATAAGATATTGTTGCTTGTTCAAGATCTTGAAATATGAAGAGCTATTTATAGATGCTGTATATATAGAATAAATATTTGCAGCTAGATTCTAGTGTGCATTTTCTGTCCATTGTTCACTGTTCATTTGCCTTATATCTTCTCTTTTTCAGTACACTACTTAGGCTAGCTGATGTCCTGTGGAATTACAACATCCCCCTGTTAATTTGTAGGACTTATGGAGTAATAGGCTATATGAGAATTGTTATTAAAGAACATCCCGGTAAGATATTTAATGGTTTAAAGATATTCCATTGTTAAAGACTATCCAAATAAAATATTTAGTGATTAAAAATTACCCTGAATATAGAGCCATTTATTAAAATGGCAAGTAGCAAAGTTTCAATGTTTTTTTTCCTGTATTTTTCATCTCAGATGGCTCATCCTTAATGAAAAGATGCTTACTGAAACAAGTTTTTTTTTTTTATAAAGAATAGATTAGGTACTTCTTTAAATCACCCTTGTAACTTGTAAGATAGGAAATATAATCCATTCCAAATTATAATTTATCATTTGAAATCTGATTTGAAATACTCGTAGTATGCTGTTTTTCCTAAGGATTTTACATTGTATGTTATCACCTCTGGATGCAATGTTAGGAAAGGTCACATTCTTTACAGATTTATATATAATCATTGAATTGTGTTTATTTAAAATATTTTAAGTCTATCCTTTTAAGCAAGAGCCCTTCAAGGGCAGCTTATATAGTAACACCTCTAATAACAATGGGAGCAAAATTGCAGGGAATCCACAAACTTTAGCAATAATGTTATCTTCAGCTATGGCTTTAGAACTGAAACGTTGCTTAATCTTTCGATAGTTATAGAATCTCATCCTGATAACGCCTTGGATGATTTGAGACTGGACAATCCATTTCCAGAGCTGAGAGAACATATTCAGTCTTACGATTTAGAACATATGGAGAAAAAGGTTGGTACAGACGTGGCCATCTCATTGGCGTGTGTATACAAGCATTAGAGATGGTTCTTGAATTTGTTCTAGAACTGCATTATATGCTACATATACTACATACAAAGGGTGTCCATGAAAAGCCTCAATCATCCAGGTCATGATTATCCGAAAAGTGCTTTTCCAAATGGCAATTAAACTTTATTGGTTTTTTTTTCTTGAAAACATTTCACTTCTCATCCAAGAAGCTTCAGTTCAGAACTGAAGAAGCTTCTTAGCTAAGAAAAGAAACATTTTCAAGGAAAGAACCAAGACAATCCAGTTGGCTTTTGGAAAAGCACCTTTGGAACATAAAGAGGGCATTCTTTTCAGAGACAAAAATGGGGCTTGATTTAGGTCAGTGGATTTACCTGTAATATATCAAATCTGATTTTTGTTATGGTGACTGGCTCATTGAAATTCCAGGATGAAGTCTGTTCGTTCTAGAAAAAGAACAAAGCCAAGCATGCTTTTTTGAACAAGCTCCATTATTACAGACTTGCCTTCTCCACATGCTTTCAGCATAATTTCAAAGTGGGGCAGCCAGACACAGAGCTTATATAATTCAAAGGTATCTAAAATGCTTTGAATTTCTTTAAAGTGCATGGCTCCGTTTGGCTCTGTTGAGATTTCCAACACAGAATTGTGAATCTGGGTTTTCAAAATCAAATGGAAACTTTTAGAACTGAGGAAACTGTTTACCTTCTGTAGATCTATCACACAAAGTGAAAAGGGTTATTCCCCAACTATTTTGTAATGACTGTTGTCGAAGGCAACTCTGTTTGTTTATCTGTTTTCGTTGCGTTATGAAATGAGTTGGTACAGCAACACTACTTCCCAACAGCCCTGCTTTCCAAAACTTTAGAATTGCACTATTTTCGTTGGTTTCTTCTTTATTTCGCTATACTTGCTTTCATTTTGCATTTGCAGGAACACAGCCATATTCCATGGATTGTGATTGTATCCCAGTATCTAGAAAAATGGTGTAATGAGGTATGTAGATACCATGGAGGTGGTAGTCTAACATACGTTATTCATGCTTTCTGCTGCAGAGCCAGAGAGATAATGCCTTCCTCCAGAGAGGCTTATGTGCTTTTATATGCCGCAGTCTTGATCACAGGCTGCCTGCATGCTGCTGAAGTCACAGGGTTGAATCAGGCAACTATAGATGAGATTGAATTATAGCTGGACCTCGAACCAACCGAATGCCGTTCAGAGGAATTTTTGGAAGTCCTTGAGTTGGGCGTGTTGTGGCTAAGTGAAGCTGCACAGACTTCAGTAAATGCTTCTTGTTCCCCATTCTCTTCTTCCCATCTAACTGGTGCACAGAAAACTATTTACAGGATCTGCATGGCCGCACTGCATAGAAAAGGAGCTTTGTGTTCACTTCCAGTAATGTCATTTCAGCTGTAGCCTATTCTCTGCACCATGTAAATATTTGTCCATATGCTTAGGTTAGTGTGGGTGGATTGTGCCCATGTGTACATCATGTTTAAGTATTTATTAAATTTGTACACTGTCCATCTCCCCATCAAGTGACTCTAGGCACCTTAAGAGTATTATAAAAGCAGCAGAGACAAAGTTAGATACATTAAAACATTGAGCCTTGAAATCCAAACATTATCAATTAATTAAATAAAGGTTCTATGGGTAAGTGAGTTGGAGGTAGAATCTAATCTACCATCCATCTCCAAAATGGGACACCCCCATTTCAGCCCCAGGCCAGTTGGCAGAGTCAAGGTTTTAGGCCCTGACAGAAGGCCAGAAGTGGGGTGGGAGCAGATCATATTTCTAGTGGCATGATGTTCCAAAGAATGCCTATCTTTTAATGTAAGATCCTGCTGCTAAGCTTGTTATTAGGTTTTAGTACTCTGTTTAAACTAACCACATGGTATATGAGAGAGAATATATCTGTTCATATCTATATCTGTTCATATCTATGTCTATATATCTATACATTCATTCATTCATCATATATGTATGCATATGGAAATTTAAAAAAAAACTGATGTACACTGAGTCATGTTTAGTGTAGAATGGGCCTTAAATTAGTCATAGCTTGTTCCACTGATAACAGCTATGTATATAAAATTGATTAAAACTTGGCTGTAACTCACTGGTGTATCCTGACTTAAACATTTGGACTTAAATATGAACAAGGAACATTTTGATGCGCTTCAGTTTATCTACTCTTGCTTGAACCCATCTTCCAGCAGGCGCAGCTATTTCTTAATTTGATTAGCATCATATGCAAAACGGAAATTCTGACTTGATTCCTAATAGAATAGAATTTTAAGACACACTTGTTCTTGTGACAAAACCGAGCCAGATTCATGCATAGTTTGTTATTGAACTAATTTTTTATCTGCCTTAATATATCGTTTAATAAAATTCAAACCTGTGATATTTCTGTTTAGAATAATGGCCAGATACCTAAGAATTACAAAGAAAAGGAAGCCTTCCGTGAGATGATTAGGCAAGGTGAGAGTTTTTGGTAACCCCTGTCTCTCTATTGTAATTTATGTTTTGGTGGCCTTTCTTTAAAGACACATGTAAATATGCGTCCTTGGCATGCAGCATTCATCAGAAGCTCACTAACTCGTCTAAAAAAAATCTTCACATATTAATATGAATTCAAAAGATAAAGGATGTCTGTTTATCGCCTCTTCTCTAGTGAACAAAATCTTGTTCAGTCAGTTCTTCATTGCTTTCTAGGAATTTTAAAAAATGAGAAGGGAATCCTGGAAGATGAGGAAAACTTTGAAGAAGCCATTAAAAATGTCAACACCGCTGTAATTGCTACTAAGGTAAAGGAAGGCTGCCACCTTCTATCGCAGTGGTTCTCAACCTGTGGGTTGGGACCCCATTTGGGGTCAAACGACTATTTCACGGGGGTCGCCACACAACGCAGTCCGCCATTTTTCCCCCTTTTCCTTAGCTATGCTACTCCCTTTTATTCTATTGGCTTTTGAAAGCCAATAGAATAGACTCTCTTGAATAGAGTCTAATTCTATTGGCTTTCAAAAGCCAATAGGAATTGTCCAGGCTGTCTCTGCCCTGCTGAGCCCGCCAAAAGTCCCATTCTGCAAATGGTGCTGCACCAGTTGAGTAGTCCTCGACTTAAAACCAGTTGGGGGTCGCGGCATTAAAAAGGTTGAGAACCACTGTTCTATCGGAACTTTTAATTGCACAATGATTGCATTCCTAATGGGGGGAAAAAAAACCCAACATGGAAACAAATATTTTCTTGAATTTGCCTTTTAGGTACCAAGTGGTATTGAAGACATTTTCAGTGATGAACATTGTATCAATCTCTCACAGCAGGTAGTAAATACAAACCAACTGAATATGCTGACTCTCTGAATAAAAGAACTCGATCAACCAATTTGGGTTTTGACTTGTTTGGTTCTTCTTTGTCCCTAAGACGCCATCTTTTTGGATCCTGGCTCGAGCCGTAAAAGAATTTGTGAGCAAAGAAGGTCAAGGGAATTTACCTGTCAGAGGCACAATCCCAGATATGATTGCAGATTCGAGTAAATTTATCAGCTTGCAGAATATGTAAGTGTTTTTCTACAGTGGTTTAGTGTCATATTCGTATCAGGCTCTCCTTCGAAACCGATGTTTTCTGCAAAGATTTTCATTGTGGCTTTATCAGCTCCCTATTTTGGGGTGGCTTTAACTTTGGTACAACGGTGCTCTCAAGCGGATGGCAAAGTTTTGCAACCTGCTAGCTCTAAAAATATCAAAGACCGCTTTTAATTCATAGTAAAAATAATAACTCATTATCACAGTGGAAAAAGCTTTTGGCTTCTCTTCTTGTAGGTTTAAGGCACGCATCTAGGCGGAGGCCATATATAGAAGTGATAATTTGTAGTTGGTTGGTTCCAGATTTATATTCAGTAGATGCCAGATGCAAAGGATGAGGACCATACCATAAGTTGCAGTTCAAAAAATTTATTGGTCAAGCAATAAATACATGAGGATCCAGTCAACTAAAGTTCAGTACTAAATTGGCACCAGATAAGAGTCAACAGAATTCAAGCAGGGTTGCACTTAAACCGTTTTTGGCAACATAATGATTCTAAGCTGATGACATGCTTAACTCTGCCTCCTTTTCTTTTACAGTAGACTTCCACTGCTACTGGAAAAAGAAGTCAGGGATATAACTCTTAGAGATTTGGGGGTCCTTTCAAAACATCAAGAGAAAACGTACTGAGGGTTTGATGGGACTAAAAATTATTTCCTTATTTCCTTTTTTGGAAACTCCATTTTATTCATTTGGGGAAAGGACAAGACTTATTTTATCCACTTCCAATTTCCCGTTCCAAGAATTCATATTCTTGGTTGGAGAATTCCAAGTTGAATATAAAATATTGATAATTTTTACCATTTTGCACGCTCCCAAATAAATAACTCATCATAAAGACAGTATAATTGGCTTTGCATTCATCTGTTACTACTAATTAAAGTGTGGATATTCAGGTGGATGAAGCCTATTGATTTTTGGGTTAGAATTGCTGAAGTTCATTTTTAGGAGGTTTTTTTTTTTAAGATACCGTGATAAAGCCAAGAAAGATGCTGATGCTGTGTCTAATTACGCTACAAAGCTGTTGCAGTCAGTTGGCAAGGTGAGTTAGTCGAAATACACTTTTCATCCTCTTTAAGACATTGAAGTAAAGAGTGAAGAAAAAATTATTTATGTATGTATGTTTTTCAAATTTATTAGAACCGTCCACCTCACAAAACAAATGAGAGAGGGGGATACGTGAGGCAACCTTAAATATTCCTTGTCATGATCGATTTCCAAAACACGGAATTGTAGAAGATAGATAAAACGTTGTAACTGTGTATGTGCCCCCAGCTATGAACAAATGGTTAAATCAAATTCTATAACAGAGATTTAGAAGACAGTTGTTAGGCATTCTAACTTTATTAAAACTGTTCTGCATTTTGCTTCACAGGCACCAGAATCCATTTCTCAAAAAGAATTAAAATTGCTTTGTAAGTATTTGATTTTACTTACATCTAGTTAATAAGGCTAAATTTTAAGGAATACAGTTAATAGCTTCCACTTGACTGCTCCTACTAATGGAATAGGCTAAACAGTCATTGTTTTAATCATGTATCCAAACTGAATTTCCTAGAATGCTCTTTTCCTAATTAGCCTTATTGGTGTAGGACAGGGGTAGGCAACATCGGCTCTTTTATGACTCACGGACTTCAACTCCCAGAATTCCTGAGCCAGCAAGGCTCAGCTTGGAAACCTCTCCCTTTCCCCTCAGCATGGCTGGCTGAGGAATTCTGGGAGTTGAAGTCCACAAGTCATAAAAGAGCCAAGGTGGCCTACCCCTGGTATAAGGTCTCCTGTTCTAAGCAGTGAGCCTCCTTGGGTAGGGGTAGGCTACCTTGGCCCTTTTATGACTGGTGGACTTCAACTCCCAGAATTCCTGAGCCAGCAAGGCTCAGCTTGGAAACCTCTCCCTTTCCCCTCAGCATGGCTGGCTGAGGAATTCTGGGAGTTGAAGTCCATGAGTCATAAAAGAGCCAAGGTTGCCTACCCCTGGTGTAGGAAGAACATTGTATAAACGTATGCTCTGTAACTAGAAGTCATAGTTGAGAACTTTGTATTTGAAATCTTGTACTTCAAATTCCATGGCAAATGTTTAAATACTGTTTTGAAATACAACTGCAAGAATGACATAACTATCTCTTGCCGGTTGTAGCAATTAAGTCTTTATATTTAAAGTACATATTCTCTCCTGTCCTCTTCCCATTTTCCCACTCTTCTTGACATTCTGTGTTTAGGTAGTAACTCAGCATTTCTTCACGTCGTACGATGTAGATCCCTTTCTGAAGAATATGGACTGAATACTTCAAACAAAGATGAGATCAGTAAGCAGATTCCCCACGGTTTATTTGCGTCCTTTTGTGGTGTTTTCATGTACAGATAAATCTGTTTGATATAGAAGAGATACAGCCAATTTCTGCTTTCTCCACTTTTGCTGTAATGTAGAGACAAGATTTTAGTTGCAAGGAACATCCGAGATCTGATCTGAGATCTGAAAATCTGAGACCCCCCCAAAGAAACTTTGAATTTGAGTATGTTGTGAATAGAATGCTGTAGTGGTGAATCACACGTGTAGCTTGTTTTTACTGTTTAATATAATACTTTTATTCAGTGCTTTTTTTTTGTCATGTGGGCTATATGTTCTTGCCTATATGCAGAGAATAGTTAGGAGATACAATTATGATATGGAAACATTCTCAGAGCAGATGGAGCATGATCTGTGAGAAGTTGAGGAATAGGAAATATATTTAGTTAAGTTAATCTCAAGCCTTTAACAATTGACTGTTAGCAATTTACATGTTGTTTTGTTACTTGAAGCTTCCCATATGGATAATCCAGATAGTGAAATGGTGCTGTATTTAATGTTACGAGCTGTGGACAGATTCTTTAAACACAATGGTAGATACCCTGGTAAGATTGTTTTCAATATATCATTTACTTTGAGAGATAAACGTGAATACTTTCTGTAATACAGATTTAATTGCATTCTGTTCAAATTTATAAATGCATCGCAGATTGAAGTTTTAATATTTACTGTATATATCATAATTGTGTATGTTTGACAAATCCAGTGTACTTTAAAGGCTTTAGTGAAAGATATTACTTTTCTGCTTAGTATATTTTTCTGTGGGATAGAGTATTATTCTCTTCTCTAACTAAATTATATTTCATTTACTTGCAATCAAATGTTAGTTCTGTCTATAATAATCATTTCTTCTTGTCAGGGGTTTATAACTATCAAGTGGAGGATGATATTGGAAAACTGAAATCTTGCCTCAATAGTTTTCTTCAGGAATATGGATTGCCTGTAACAGTTAAGGATGATTATGTCCATGAATTGTGAGTGTTAAATTACAAATATACTTTCCAAGACCTTATGATGCATTATAATATGGCAACTGTTGTTATTTTCCTTTTGTAGTTGTCGATATGGAGCTGCCGAGCCACACACTATAGCAGCATTTCTAGGAGGTAAAAAGTTTGCTATTTTCATGTGTCCATGTTGAACTACAAGCCAGTTTACATGCAAAAATATTTAGTATGTCTTACTACTTACTACTGATACTACTTTTGCATTCTCATGTCCGTTGTACTAATATCTTTATGTTGATTAAAGGGAGTAACTATTCATTATACTGATATAATTTCCTTTGCTCTCATAAAAATGTCTCAGATTTAAAATTATTTCCAAAGTTTATACATGTACAATAAGACTAGTTTGTACTCTATAGTTGTTAGTATATTTTGATATATGCACTGAGATATTAAACAAATTAGCTCTATACTGCAGCCAGCATTCTTTTGTGACAAATCTTAGATGCACGTAAAACTCCCCAGATTAAATTGCCTTGTTTGAACCTGGAATCACAAATAATGAAGACTCTAGCATACATTTCTTAGGGAACAAAACTTGGTAATTGAATTTTCCAATACCTATTACCCCACTTCTCTTATTGATGATACGTTCTATAAGGGGTCTCAACTTACAAATTCAGATTATGTACAAGCTTTTGCCAGGAAAGACTTTTGCTATGATTTTTTATCTGCCAGAGATTGAACATGGAAAAAGTGCAATTGGCCATTGAGCTGAGTCAATCATGAGAGTATTCATGCTTTATGTCTACCCATTTTAAAAAAAAGTAGAGCTAGAAAATAGGCATTTGGATTTGAATCAATTGGCGTGTAAATGTGTCAGTTCTGTTATATATTTTTAATTTGTCACTCCTTGGCGGTTTTACAGGAGCTGCTGCTCAGGAAGTTGTGAAAATTGTTACCAGGCAATTTGTAATATTTAATAATACCTACATTTACAATGGGATGTCTCAGACCTCAGCAACATTCAAACTGTAAATCAGCCCACTACATTGTTGGTATCTGTAACTGCTTTTGATTTGCATTTGGTTCTGTTAAAAGTATTGCTGAAAAGAATGTATAATGCCAGTTCGTTTCTTTGTATTATTTTTGTCTTTCTAAATTCTTTCAAATTGTAATAAAGAATGTATCTTGCATTTCAATAAAAGACACTGGAAGATGGAAATTATGGCTTCTTCAAAATGTGACCAGATTACCTACATTGATTCTCCATGTTTTACATATATTTGTTGTGAGGAGAGGCAGTTGGAACTGAATTTAGTTCTCCACAAAAAACATAGGCTGGCTTACAGGACTCAGGAAAGTATTTTTAAACATTGTGCTAAATAGATAACTGAAGAAAATGTGCAGTGGTATTAAGTACAATGTGATTTTCATGAGATCTTCAGACAGTTGCTTGTGGCATTCAGATATACTCCATGAAAAGACTTGTTTACAAAGAGGATTGGACATTCATTGAAAGTGAAGAAAAAGGCAGCAATTTTTAACTGATTTTTTTTCTTTCCCTTGCTGACACCAGTATCTTTTTGCACATTGTGCTGGAGGTTTCACAATGCTTAGAGCAGCTTTTGGGGATATTTGGCTACAGTGGAATGGAGCTGACAAAAACCAATGTTCAGATTTTCCTCTACGATAACAGCTGTGGTCTAAATTCTAGATCCCACTCACTATAATATATAATGTTATTCTCAACATTATGAAGGTGTCTTCAAACCATTAAGAAAACATAAAACATTTTGGAAAAAGATTCATGATATTATGATGTATTCTGATTTACATACAATAAACATTTTAATGGGTCGTGTAAGTTTTATTTATTGAGAAAAACTCTTTAAAAATGGCTAATCTTAAAACAGAACATTAGAAACACTCAATTTGAGACTTGCTTATATATAGGTATTTCACTAGGTTTTTCACCCAGTTAGTAGCTGCACACTAAATTTGAAAATAGGATTAAGTAATCTTATTTTTAAAAGGACATTGTGGGTCATTGGTAAAAGAAAGTCTGGTTTCAATTGTCATAGGTTGAGGACTATCAGTCCAGGAGACAAAGTTGCAGCCTCATCACACTCAGTATATAGTGGGAAGAAGGCCACAGGGTAATATCCCAGGCAACACATTCTTTGGGTGGGAAAAGGATCTGCCATCATTGCTTCCCTGCCAGGAAAAAAAAACCTGCACAAATTTTAAACAGGAAAACAAGAAAGAGGCGAAGTGTTCAGACTCGCAAAAGCTGCACCAAAGTGGCTAATACTGGAAATGCAGATAGATAGCCTGCAGATATCCCATCACCCAAGGCCTTTTCAGCCCTGCCAGCCAAGCCCAGAGGCAAATTTAAAAGCTTCCATTTGCTTCCTGGGTTTGGAAGCCAGCTGAGTAGTGGGCTCTGAGCTAAGAATGCTGGGAGTTGTAGTTCCAATTTAGCTGGCAGACACCTGGTGGGGGGGACTGCTATTGAATGACATAGGCAGATTGGCAGGAGAGGGTTGTTTGCGTATGTACGAGGCAGAGATGTATTTATTTTTAAAGAGGTTTGGTATACATGACCTTCAAAACAGCCCACTGCATTGAAGACCTGTATAAAATAAGGCATTATTTTATAATTCTCCTTTGGAGTAGCTAGAGACGTCTTTTGGGGCCTTGTCTGCACTTATTTGTGATTATTTTGGAAAAGCGCCCCATTTTGCATGAGAGAAGCTCGAGCCTTAAATTCTAATTGCAGATATTCTCAGAATTGATTCAGTCTCATCCTGTTTTTACTGGGTGGTATCGAATCTCTCTATATTGTTTCCAGTGGAAAAAGTGTATGGTTTTTGACCTCAAATATCCATTTTATTCTTCAAGAAACCAGGAAGATGTTTTCAGTTAAAAAGGGCTGACAGGCCCCATTTGCTGGTTTCCTAGGTCTCATGATGTCATAATATGGCTGCTTGATTGGAGCTTAATTTGTTTATAATTCAACCCAGGGATGTCTGCAAAAAAGTCAAGATGGCGGCCACAGTATTGCCCTTGGAACGTCATCTGTTTTGGTTTTTTTATGCTGCCGATTTGACTTTGTTGCCTTAAAATTCAGGCACCCTGAGTGGCATAGAACTGAATCTATTCCCTGAATCTGAGAGACAAAACATTTTTATCTTTGCAAAGGAGGCTTTTTTGCCTACCAGAAATTGCAAGTCATTAAGTAATTCAGGCAAAGTAAAAAGTGTTTATTAAGGGGGGAGGGGGCTCAAATCTTTTTGTAAGGTACAGAAATAATTATTAAATATATTTGGTATATGTGATACATTAGAAAGCAAGTGATCAAAGACATGGGTTACATGTGAGAATTCATCAATAGAAAAAAAATGGTTCTAGGTAATGTTCCACAAGTGGCAATGTTATGGGTTCACTTATAAATTAAATTATTCCCTTTTCCAGCTGGGTTTGTATCTTGGAAAATTTGGATAAGAAGGATAACAAATTGGTAAACTGAATATATTTAGCATACCTTTTTTTATTTCTAATGAAGAAATTATCTGTTTTATTTCTCCTCTTCCTCCTTTATTATAGATAGAGGCTGAGAAAAAAAATCAAAATGGAAAATAGAAAAGATCAGAAAATTAACTGTGGTAAGATTGGCATACACACACTATATCAAAGAATGATATTTAATCCGCTCTATGTATTCACAACTCTGGAAAGAATTCTTTTTCTGATATTTGTGAATGAAAATGTAAATTCGAACTTTCATTTAGATAAAGATTAGCAATTCACATTTATTAAAAAAGTAAAAATATTTCTACTTAGTAAATACACTAACTAGTAATTGTTTGAAATATTGATAAATATCTTAATATTGGTGCACTGCAATTGTTTGTTACAGATGGCAAGATTCTACTATTAAATGCCAACTTTAAAAAAAGAAATTCTAAATATTTTGAAACCATTATTTTATCCTTCTAGATATGAAAACTGATCTGAATTTACTTCTTGAATGTCTTAAGTATCAAATGGGCCATCCAGCTTCTCAAAAAGAAGTTTTGGTTACTATTTATTCAGTTTGTCAACAAAACAGTAAGCCACTGAATTTTACAGTTATAGCTCTATTGTGTTTGTTTTGCTCTTTAAGATTATTAGTATGGAAATAAATAATTCTATTATTCACTGGATTTGTTTTTGCTACAGGTGCTGCCTGTGATTATTTTAGAGAAATAGGTGGTTTGATGTTTGTGTGGAATCTTGCAAAGTCACAATTGCACAGTTTGGTTCAAGAAGCTGCTTTATTTACATTAGGAGGTTTAGCTGAGAATAATGGTAAGACACAATTTCATTCTCATTTTACTATATCATTTTTTCACGTGTTTACATTCTGTTTTGTAATGTTTGTTTTGATTGATCCATGTCTGGAGATCATTTAAAAGTGTGCATTTAAAATATTTTACTATTTATCTAAAATCTATTACCTATCTAAAATCTGATCACCTGAAAAATATCTTTACTAAGGAAATCTCCATGTAACAGATGGAGGGGCAGAAAATGGTCAGCCAGCTATATTTTAAGTCACCAGATGTTTAAATGTCAGCTTTGTTTTCTACAGGAGGAAAATTAAAGGACATAAATATTTAGTGAACGCTATGAAAATACTTCATCATTCTGGTTGATTTAATATCAATGCACTTTTAAACTCATAAGTGATTCTGCAAATATTAAAGCATAAATGAAATAAATACTTGGACTCTTGGTTGCTATGAAGTTACTTGAACTCCCATCAAAACAAGCTCCCTAAAGATCACTGAAAACACTCTTAGAATACAATCCTATTCTTATCTACTTAGAACTGCTCTCAAGTGAGCGCATATAATGTTACAACCTGAAGGACTTTTTACTGCAATCTTTCAACAAAAATTGAGTATAATTTCTGCACTTGAATAAATTGAAATATTTTATGTTCCCAAAGCTACCATTATAACGTAGTTCTAGTCATATTTCTGAAAAGTAAGTTCCATTAGGTAGGTGAGAACAGGAATTATAGTCACTATATTTGTTCAATTATGCATAATTATCAGAACATTTAATTATATTTGATCAGTTAATGCCATGCAATATAGTCTTATTCACATTATATTTATTTTTTTTAGTGTTCTGCCAGCAGATGTTATGTACAGCTGAATTATTTGAGGATCTTCGAACATTTTTAACTAATAAGAATTCTAGTATGAATTTGAAAAGAATGTCTGTATATGTCTTACTGGTGCTGGTTTCAAATAATAGTAAGATTTTTTTTCCTTCTCCATGTATAAAGAAATTGTTCAAACACATATACAGGTAGTCCTCGCTTAATGATATGAGGTCTACTAAGATTAGTCCCCACCTAATCGGTACTCATTGGGATAAATCAGAAATTCTGGCTTGTTTTAGGTAAAATGTTGACAATTTGCAAATACTCATTAGATTCCACTGAGTTATAGTTGCTTAGTGTTTGTTCTATTTGTTTTTTTTTAAATGTTACTTAAAAATATAGACAGGGGACAAACATATGTGAGAGAATCTGGATGCCTCGATATTCTGCTACATTTATTCAGGTAAGCTAAGAAAAAAAAATCAATTAAAAAGTACGTTTCCGTAGGCCTAAATGACTTTTTTCATTCTTTGCCATCTATTTTCTCTAACAGAGTAATTCCTTCAGAATCTCAAATGAACCTTTTCGATCATAAAATTGATCAGTATCACTTGTGGTCCTCAGTGTGTAGTAATCTTTGTGCATGTGTCAACAATCCTCAGAATGGTAATTACTTTATCAAGCATTTGCTTTTCTTATTTTTTTACAGTAAATATAAGTGGGAGGGGGATGACGAATGACTCGTGTTCAAAGCACATTTTGTTCACCTCCAGAGGAAAATCAGAAAGCCTGCAGTTTGGTTTTTCCATATGCAAAAGATTGGCTACAAAATTGTATGAAAGCTGAGATAGTTCGTCCAATATGTTCATTCATTGGGCTCAGTACTGCAAATAATTGTAAGTACCTATTAACACACACACTGTATGAAAATGTTTATTCTGTGAAATAAAATATCATTCCTTAGTGGCATGATTTGATATGTTGCACAAGCCAAAATGTTTGAGTTATTCAGAAAAACGTGATTTAGAAAATCTTGGTTTAAGGTTATGCAAGAACATGATTATTTTTTACAGTTTCTGCTGTACGTATTTTATGAATGTTTTGTGTAAAACTATGGAATAAACTAGTTTTATGTACATCACCTTCATATTTTGGACTTCTTCATCTAGCTCAGTTACAAAGGAGGTTTTTGAATCTAATGGTATTAAGTTTATTTGAGATTCCTTTATAGGTTTTTCAATAGTTAGGATTATGTTTTATTTATCTATTTTAACATAATTAAAGAACTAATAAACATTGCTCCTCCTTCCAAATCTTGAAAACAAATATATTTATTTATAAATCTTCATCTTAAAGCAATCTGTTAATTGTTTATTGTTTGGATTTTTTTTTCAAGCAAGGACCCAGAATTTTTTTATTTCTATTGGGGGATTAGCTGTTTTGGATGAGCTTCTTCTCAAACTGATACATGGTTCCTTGGTGAACAATACAAATATCAAACTTGCTATAGTAGTGACAAAAACATTGGATGCCTGTATTGCTGATAATGGTAAGTAGTTTCTGTTCGTAAACTTACAGTTACATAGTACTAATAAAGAAGAATATTTGATCATAACCGCAGATGATATTGAAAAAAATTATGATCAAATCTTTAATTTCACAACATATGGACAGATTTAACCACAGTTTCAATTGGGAAAATGTGACCATCCTAGACCAAGCCAAATCCAAAAATGCCAGGGAACTTCTAGAAGCCTGACACTCTGACAAATCATCCATCAATGGACACATTGACATTAAAATATCTAACAAACTATCATCCAGCCCAAAAAGGAATAAAAAGATGAGAGCACCTCTTCACCAGCAATCAGTACCCAGATCAGCATAGATTAATTCCAAGGTTAACATCAGACCCACAATCAAGTAAATAATACCCCAATCAAGAAACTAACAAAGCCAACAGCAAACAGCCCAATCAAAAAATGATCCAGAAGGTTTTTCTAATTGTACAACTCTTCTAAATGTATAATAACTTTGCATAGGGTTTCATTCTATTGCATACCTAAAGAGGCATTTAAAAAAAAACCTGTTTTGTGTTACAGCTTCAGTTGGCATTCATTTACCAAAGTATAACATTGTGCCTAATTTACTGAAACTGCTTTCTTACAACATTTTGGACTCAGGAGAACGATTTAGTATTATACTTACTCTTGGACATTGTACAGAAGTCTGTGGTAAGATTCTTAATAATATATTGACTTATTTATTTAATTGAGGGTAGAGAATGCCACATTCGAATTTCAACATGTAATTTATAACAGTAAACAAGAATGACTGATAATCTAAGACTGATTTTTGAAGTTTCATTTAGCTCTCATCTAAATGGAAAAATCAACCAAAATAAAATAGTGGAAGTTCCTAGTGATGTAAGTCCAATAAAATATATGTATGAAGTCATTCCAACAATTTAATAGAACTTTTCACCCTAAATGGGGCAATTTACAATTGTGCATGCATTTATCTGAGGGAGAAGTTCCGAGCAGACACAAAAAGGATTTGACAATATCTGGGAATTTGTGCTTTAGTTAGCTTTACAAATTATGGAATTGTAGGAGTCATTCTCATCTCTGACCTCTGCCAAAATATGTACTGTGCATCTTGAACTACTACTGATTGTGTTTGTACATAATAGTATGCTATAGTTAGCTTAAAATGGCTTATTGAATAAACTAAAAATGGCTAGATTTGTGCAACATAAGCCATAAACTGTGATTTACAAACTACAAGGCAGTGGTCCACAAAATATTGCTTGATGTGTGAGCTCTGTAACTGTCTTCTAGCATAACTTTTGGATTGGATTTTTTCTAGATAACTATTGTAGTTCTAAGCTAATATTACGTTCTTGAGCTTATGATGTATACTAGCAATCAACTGCTGATGGTAAATTGGCAGTGATAGCAAAATGTGACTTTAAATTTTAGATCTTACTGGTAGTTTGAGAAATGAAGTCACATGTTTCTGAATAAGCAAAGTTGTGCTAAAAAAATTAGAATCAATTGCTTTTTCTTGGAAAGACATTGTAGATGATCTTACTTAATTTTACAGTTTGAACAAATATGTTTACTGAGGCTGATTTTTTTTAGAGGAAAATCAATATACTCTGGTTAAGAATAATGGGCTTCCACTTATGATTCAAGCATTGGCTGAAATGCAGGATGATGAACTAAATAAAGCTGCTACCTTTGTATTGCAAAACTGCAAACAGATGAGTAAGATTATCATTATTTTGATTTCTGTATTTAAAATCACCTGGACAGGCACCTAAATAGTCATTTGCTTAGCTAAAGTTGGAAGTAACAACTGTATTCAAGTGCTCAGTATTTGAAGCTGTTGCAAAATCAGTACTTAGGTTGAAACTAATTTTATTTGTTAGACTGTTCTAGGGCTTGCAATGTATAGATTGTAAAGTATCATTTTATAATAAGTTTAATTGAGAATGTGTTTTTGTAAAAGTAATGTTATAAATTAGTTAATGTTTCTAAAATTATCCTAGTGGCATCTAATGCGATGCCCTTAGATGTTTTATTCTAGGCTAAAACACTATAATTGCTGAAGATGGTTTTATCTTGAGATGCCTGGGTCAAGAAACTGATATTAAATAGCATATTTGTGAATAAAAATTTGTTTGATACAAATCAAAACTTAAATAGTGATGGAATGGAATGTATTAAGTCTTTGATACAAATTATACACCTTTATTTTGTATTAATAACACAATTATTTCTATTTTTCACAAGCTGAAAAATTATCAGTGAAGATAAATCAACATTCATTCCAAATGGATGAAAGAAGAATATTGGAAGCTGATTGGCAGAAAAAAGAAAGGATTCTTGAAGATTATTGGAAGGAAGCAAAACAAATTTTATACAAAATCAAAGGGCTTGAAAATGAGAAAGAGGTGTTTCCCCCCCCCCACTTCCCTCTCTGTCGTTTAGGAAATCTATCAAAATCAGAAAGCCTCTCCTGATATTCTCAGTAGAATCTGCTTGTATTGTTTTATTCCAGTCTTTCAGTTCTTGGAATTAATAATAACTCAATGAGCTATGCTTATTTGCATTTTAAAAACAAACGGAGTGAAATTCCATTCCCGTTAGTCAGTGCTTGATGGCCCTTTCTAGTTATTTTGGGTATTCTTTTACATATAGGTTTGATTTCTTCAAAGTAGTTACTGCTGAGAGAAATATTCAGTCATGATACTAAATTAATGGATTACTGTATAGCCATCTTATTGAGCTTTCTTGATAGCAGTTTTTCCACTGGCTTTCCTGTTGTTTTTACAGTCAAACAGAAAGTGTAATTCTTGCTTAATTCTGTTTAACATCTACAGTCATGTTGGGCCTGGTCCTATCCTGCAACATTGTTTTTTCTCTGTGCTTTTGTTTCATTTCCCTGCTGTTTCCAAACATAGGAAAATATCGGAAAAAAAATATTAATCAAAGAGGATACCCCTCAAGAACAGTTTCTGCAGGCGTTGACCCAACACCGTCAACCAAATTCCAGCAAGCAGCCTTCAGATAACAGCAAAATATGTTCAGAAATGAAACACCCACCACACAATACTATTTCCAAGGTGCAGAATACTTCTACATTCGAAAACAGTTCTTCCAGTAGAGGACAATTGAAGTCTGCCATTTGGAATTCAGCTCAAAATGATCACAATCTTCATGCAAATGAAAAAAAGACAACTCCCAGCATAAACGAAGCTTACATTACAAATAAAAACAGTTTTCATGGTTTTAGGAAAAGTGATGCTCAAACAAGGTACTGTATCTAGGATCTGCTTTCTAAAGCTGGCTTGCTAATTTGATCTTAATAGTAAATCAGATTTTCAAACGAAAATGTCATATTGGGTTGCTTCCAGATTTAATTATGCTTAGGATAGGTCCAGTTATTTTAAGTTACAAAGGGGCCCTTATACTATCTAATTCCTTTTTAAGTTTTGTGATGAATTCTGAACAGGCTAGCATTTTATCCTAACTGTATGGGAAACTTTGTTATCTAAATGTTTCTCTTAAAGATCGAAATCAATGTGTATCTCTCATAATAATTCATGATTTCTAGATAATGCCACACACAGGAACAATGTGTGCTATTCTGTGAATTTTTCCTCGCATATAAATAATAAATTAATTAGAGGGTGGGAGAATCTTCCAAATTTGAGTTTGAATGTAAAACATCAATTTGATCAGTATAACAAAGAAATATTGTGTTGTCACCATGCAAGCCCTGCCCACTTGATACATGCATGTCATGTTGTTATATGTGTATTCAAATGAGAGTTTGTGGCACAAAAGTAGAACACACTGGTTTTAATCACTTGACAGACTCAGCTGTAGATACTCATGAATGAACACTGTAAGGTCTTCAGTTAGTGGTGCAATATGATAAGTGAAGTACTTTTGAGGCATCTGTTAAATCTCCAAACTAAAATACTTAATAATACTCTTTTAATCTTTTCAGTGAATTTGTTTTTAAGAGACCAGATTTTCTAGTAAAAAACCCAATGCAAAAGATTCAACATTCAGGTAGATATAATTTATTTAAATATTTTAATTTCAATTTGGTTTTTAGAAATTATATATATATATATTTATATGGATGGCTAAAAGGTACACAGCTACATTCTGTGATACACTACTCAAAACAGCTAAGGGCTAGCATGTATAGAATATTATTACACCAATAGTAAGTTTTCTTTATATCGAAAATTTGATTCTAATTCTTTTTAGCAATCTTTTGAAAGACTGGAATCAATATGTAAGCTAAATATTAACAATATTTGTTGCTGTATCATACAAAGGAAACTAGTAGAACAGAGTGATTACACTGATAGGTCAAAAATTTAACCTGGGAATATTAGTTGGCAATTAATTTTTATATAGTTTGGTGTGTATTACCGTACAGAATTTCAGTCCAATTCTTTTCAAATTCAGTGGCAATATACAAAAGTTAATACATCCATTGATATGAATGCATTTCACATTAGATATTTTATTTTTCAAGATCTAAAACATCCAAGGAACCCAAGCAGAGGGGTGGGTCATATTCTGACTGTTTGCCCTAAAATAAGAGAACACAGATGTTCAGGTAATGTTTTAATTTTTTAAAAAAAATATGCTTATAGATTTTTCTGTTCAAAAGGAAATCCCACTGAACTAAACAGTAATGACACCCCAAGTATGATTTCAGCCAGTCAGTCAGCTTATCCAAAGGAACCAAAATTGTTAGGAAGTCTGTGTAACATTCCTAATATTAGACATATTAATGTGGGTGTAACAAGATGGCATGGATAATAAGTACAATTTTCTGGGACTGCCCTCCCATTGGCTATGCACTAATACCATCCTTTTGTTGGTTTTTTTTTACTACTATATAACTTGGTTCCTTCCTTACCCAGCAGAAAAGTCCTATTTTGGCTTTTTTATGAGGATATAATTGACCTGTAGGGCAATATATCTGTAGATCTATTGATCATTTTCCAATAAGCATTTTCTAGATTTAATGATGCACTTATCACAATGTGGTTAAAGCAGAAAATAAATAAGAAATATTAAATAATGTAATGCTGTGCACCTGTAACATTTTATTTCTATAACATTATATTCTCAGGTTGTAGAATAGGAAGACTTTCCTTAAACAGCCGAAACTTTAGCAAGACTCTGCAGTCTTGTCAATATCTATGTGAACAACACAAAATTATTCTAGAATCTGAGATGGAATACAAAAGGAAGTTGAGAAGATCCATTATGGCTAACAAGAATACTTCTGCATATCACAATGGTAACCATGATGACCAGATATTCAGTTATAAGAGAAACTCAACAACTGTGAAAGAATTAGGTCTGTGTCAAAGAACCGTTATCCCTTAGAGTAATATCTAGTTTAGCCCCATTCTTTGGTAATTTTCAGAATGTCTGAGTAAGGAAATTTTGTTTTGTTTCAAACAGCAAATTTTCAATATGATGCATATTCCAAGAACCAAACAATGAAACAGAATTATAGCCTTCAAGACCAGGAGCTGAGTGAAAACCATCCATTTGAAGAGGCGGTATGGCCACCTAAATATCAACATTTTGTATATTAATATCTGGGTATAAATTCTGACACCAGATTCTTTGTTGAAAGGGCTAATAATTAAACTCTTGGTGTGCTGTTTTAATTAATATTGCAGAATACTGAAACTCTGTCGAATAGGTCTGCAACAACTTTAAAGAAAAGGAGAATCAGGAAAGATTTTACATCAGATGAAATAAGTTATCTTTTGGAAGGTGTAAGGAAAATGGGGCATCATTGGAATTCAATTTTATGGGCCTACCCATTTCAGAAAGGACGGACAAATGTTGATCTTGCTAAGAAATACAGCAAATTACAGGTATTTCTGTTTTATAGCTGTTTTCTACCTGGAGTGAGAGTAGCAGAGACCTTAAAGTTAATAGCTACTGTAGTTAGATAAATCCGCTTGGAAAGAGTAAAAAAATGTGATGGAGGATGGTGATGGAGGAACCAATAATAAAAGCTAGTCATACACTTTACCTGGTTACTTCAACTCTACAGCCCTATTAGAGTAATTGATACAAGATTAATATGCTTAGCTTTGTATCATTTTCCTCTCTTTCAGAAAAATGAAAAGAGCAGAAATACACAACTTCAGTGAAACGGACCTGTAACATTGTTTTAAATGTTATGACTTCAGCTGCTTTGCAGAATACAGTTACTTGCTTTGTATCTGGGGCTTTTGTACACAGAAGCTCGTCTTTCCAGCAAGGCTTAATTTTGAAGATACGTTATTTGCCCAGTGCAACGATGTTGCCTATTGATACTGTAAAAATGTAGAATGATCATACTGCCTTTTAAGGAAGTGTGTAACGTAAAAAATAAATTTGAAATGATTGAGAAGCAGATATTCCCACGAGTCTAACGTTTATTACATTTAACTATGCCCTCGCTCTCTTGTTTTTTGCGTCCCTTCGAACTAGTTGGGCTTTTCAAGCTTTCGGCTACGGAATTCAGTCTTGCAACTGATGCTGCTACAAAACGGTGTGACTCCGCATACGCCCCTTGCAAGCTCCGCATCCCCTTAGCGTAGTCAATGAAAAAGGGGCGGGGCCAAGCCCAGCTCTGGCTGTATTGTGCAACCTTCGGGCGTAGCCAAAGCAGCTGCAGTGCTCCTTGCCGGCACTAGGGGTCCCTATTTGGCGCAAACTCTGGGCGGCGGCCCCGAAAATCTTGAACTCATCGTCCAGCGAAAAATCCGCCGCCGTTGGTGTCCTCAGAACTGCCTGACTGGAAAGGATGGCTCAGCCTTTCGTAGGACAACGCTTCCGGCTCCAAAACCGCGCCGCGCAGAGGGAAAGCCGCCGATGAAGCGAGGAGCGGACGTCGAGCCGCGGAAAAGAACTGCAAGAGAGGGGGCCAAAGAACAGGCATCCGTCGGGACAGGCGGGGTCCTGAGCAGAGCGTGGGGGAAAGCCGGGGTCCTGTCGGCGGAGCCTGGGCGGATGAGGTCACTCTTTGTGGCGGCTGCCGTTGGCAAGATGGCGCCGGTGTTGGCAGAGAAGAAGCTGCTGGAGCCGGACGGGCCTTTGGCCGCGGACCTCCCCAGCGAGGAGGAGGAAGGCCAGAGCCTCTGGTGAGCAGCCGGGCCCGGGCTTCGGGCCGCGGGGGGCGGGGGGCGGCTTTGGGGAGGCTGGGCGGGGGAGGGCAGGGCATCTTTCCCCTCTCAGGTGGGCCGGGTGGGGGTCGCCGCCGCCGAGCTCGGCTCCAGCGAAGGCAGCCCCGGCGGCCTCTTTCGCCCCTGCAGCCTGTTTGCCCTCCCCCCGGCTCCGTTTTTCCCGGGCCCTCCTGTTGGGGTCGAGACGGCTCAGCTCCGCCGCCCTTGGGAGGGGCGCCTCCTGCAGCTCAGCCGCGGGGGAGCTGCCCTGCCGGGTGGGTGGGTGGCTGAAGGGGCTGCTCCCGGCCCTGCCCTCCCTTGCAGAGCCGACGGTGGGCGGCAGCCTTGGCCCGGCCCGGCCCGGCCCTGCTCGGTGCATGGGACAACCACACCCATCCTCCGCGCTCTCCCTCCCATCCCGCCTGGAGGGACCCTCGGTTGGGGCAGGTGGTTTTCGCCTGGGAAGCCTCTTCCCGAAAAGGGGCTGGTGGCGCTGCATCTCCCCTCCCTTTGGATGGGGGAGGCCGAATGCTCTTTTTCTGAACCCCGAAGAGTCGCTGGAGGCTGGCAGGCTTGAATGGCTGGCAGCCTCTCTTTCGGGTGCCTCTAGTAGTCTAAAACCTTGCCCTAAATCCCCGGAGTCTTAATCCTGTGCAAAGTAAAGCCGACTCCTCCAGCTTTGACATGGCAGTTGCGTCTCACTAGCGCTTTCTGTTTTTATCACTAGCATTTCTCTCTCCCCCCCCCCCCCCGCTTGGACGCCTTTCCAATATAAGCAGCGTCCCGTTATTGTAGGATGCTTGGTTGGCGTTGCTTTCTATATTGGTTTCGGTAAACCGGTTATGGCGTTTCCTGATTTTATCTGTGGGCTGCTCTGAGAGTTCCTTTTGTAATGAACGCGTGCTAACCGTGGCTTAGGCACGCAATGCATTCTGAATTAATTTTTTGAGCTGGCATGCATTCGATTTAGAAGGAGCAGCTCTTATGTCAGGCAGTGAGAATTAACCCTTTTGGTCTATGCTTGGAATGTTTCTAAATATTAAAACACATGTCCAGGAATTTTTTGTTTGTTAACAGTCCCAATCTTTTCTCTATAATTGAAACATTGCAGACAGAGCCAAATACTTTAGCAGAGAAGAGGTGATTTTCCCCGCAAAAGGTAGAGTTAGGCTTTTGAATCCTGGCACTTGGAATGACTTTCTGGTACCCAAATCTATGGGGAACAACTTTCCATAATATATGCATTACAGAACCTTTAGTTCCTTATATGTTTATTAAACTTGTATAGCTGTCCATCTCGTGTTGTGACGTGCTTATAATGGTTGATCTCAGAAAACATAATATTGCACTGTTGATTCATACTCAAAATCCTAGTAATTCATAAAAGGTAGGCTTTCCCCTCAATTTGTCTAAAAGGTTTTATGCTTGTAGTCTGGTATTATAAGGCCTAAATTGCTTGACTATAAATGTAAAGTATAAAAGCCAAGGGTTTAAATATTTATTTACTATATGGAGATGACATTTGGATACATGAAAACCATAGGAAGCAAAAAAAAAAAGCTGATTCATTTTTTAGAGGATGGGAACCTTCACTTCTGTTCTTTTGTCATTCATCCTGTTCTTTTGATTCATATCATCTTTCACCCTTGACTAAAAAGAATGTTACTTCAATGCAGGTTCTCCATATTGAGTGAAGTCTCCACCCGGTCAAGGTCTAAATTACCATCAGGCAAAAATATTCTTGTCTTTGGTAAGTATCAGTGAATAGCTATGGGAGGCTATTGGTTCTCCAGTAAGGTTAACTGATGAAAGAAAATAAAGCCATTTAATTTAGACGAAAGCCTTTGTTGAGAGATTGAATATACACTAGCCAGGCTTTAGCTTGTCTTGTGTGCATTTTGTGACATAAGGCCTTTGATGCTGCTTACAGGCTTAATGGTTTTTTTTTCCCCGGTTTTTCTTTTTGAGAAATAATGTTTCCTTTTTGAAGAGGAAAATGAAAGGTAATTGATATTTAACAAGTTAGAAAGTGGAAGAAGAAGCATACATCAGACTGGCACAGTAAGGGGCCTGGCATTGTTTAGCTGTTCTGTAAAATAAAATGTTTCTTCAGCTCCTGTAAAGGTACATGCAACTTGTCAATTCAAGCACATGACTTTTTTTTTTGTTAAAGATTATCTTCCTGTCTCTTCTCTTCCTTTGCAAAATATACTGGCAGGTGATGATGGCTCTGGTAAAACGACCCTGCTGACTAAAATCCAAGGAGTAGAGCATGGCAAGAAAGGAAGAGGGTTGGAGTATCTATACCTAAATGTCCATGATGAAGATAGAGATGGTAAAGTCCTTGTTTTACCTGTGTTTCTTCTGCCTAAAGTTTAAGGCCAGCTTATCTCAAAGATGTTATTGGATTGTGGAATGTAATTAATCAAGTCAGAGGTTTAATTATTTCAAGGTTTCTTTCTTTGCACTTTCTTTGTCTTGTTCATTCTCTCTTTCCTCTGGTGCCTTCAGGCAATTAGCAAGACATGCTATTCCCACCACAAAATATAGCCCTTGATTATCTGTTACCATATTTAGTACATTCTTCCTCATCGTCTCTGTTAGCGCTGTTTTTGTGGAACCTCCACTTTTCATTTAAGTCTGGTTTCCTGTCCATTTCTCTATCCTGTATACATTTTTTCAGAATCCTCCACAGCCATTCTCCTGATCCCATTGTTGCTCCGTTTGTATAACCTGAAACCTTCCTTTCTGACATTCACTCCTCCAGCTTCACTGATTCCAGAATTACCTTTTGTCCTTTTTGCCTTGTGCATTTAAAATTGCCCATCAGAATGCTTCAGCTGCCCTACTTTTTCTAAGCTTGTCCTCAGAATTCACCTTTGAAAAAAGCTGAGTGCTGCAGCATTTCCAAATCTGGTACACTTTGGATCATCCTTGTCTTCTGTGACCACAATAAACACAAGCTGATCTAATTTAATTTCCCAAACTGTTACTTGAATTGAAGGATAATTATGCATAAATAGTTGTGGTTTTGTGAATTTTGTGATGCCGTTCTCTAGTCCTAGAGTATGTAAAAACATACACGAGGAAGATGTCTGCCTCTAAATACATGTATTATTCAAGTCACAGGCATAACATTTAAGAAAAATTTCTTGCAAAAATCAGGAATTGGGAAAAACACAGGCCCTGGTGAAATGCCCATGGAACTTCTGAACCTTAGTGTAGAGTTGAGAATGTATTCAAAGTGATGCAAATTGTAGCAATAAACTAAGAAAAACGAAACAACTGAAACCAGATTTATCCATTTATCCAGATTTGTCCTTACCAATTTGGAAAGACCATCCTAGTATTTTTATGTAAGCATGTCTGAAATAGCTGTACATTCTCGTACTTACTCAGCTTCTGCTTCTCTCCTCTTTCTCTACCTCTCTGATGCTGAATTCTTGTTTGTAATCTCCCTTGCAGCAAAGTTATGCTATATTTAGGGCTGTCTGTGTACTTGGTGCCTTAGAAGCTGTCAGTGCCAAGTTTGTTAATGGTGCTATATCTTTTAATGGGAGAAGGATGTCTTACTTAAAAGAAATTGTCTCCTTTGCAGATCAGACCCGCTGTAATGTTTGGATTCTTGATGGCGATTTGTATCACAAAGGTCTCTTGAAGTTTGCCGTGACAGCCGAATCATTGCAAGAGACTCTTGTAATCTTTGTGGCAGATATGTCTAGGCCATGGACTATTCTGGAATCCTTGCAAAAATGGGCAAGTGTCTTGCGTGAACATATTGATAAACTGAAAATCCCTCCGGAGGAAATGAGAGACATGGAACAACAATGTAAGTTACGCGAGGCTGGCATTTCTTTAATGTCTGTGCATTTTATTAGAAGAGTGCCCATAACTGTATTGAACCAGGCCCAAAGTCCATTAACTAAGCACTGTCTACCCTACCAGTCTGCCTGCAGTTTGTGTTTGAGTAACTTTGTTTGGAACAGTACTGCTAATTATGTGGATTTTATAACAGGGCATGTAATTTGTACTTGCTCATCTAATGATGAATTGGTCATCTGGGGAAAGTAGGCTTGTAAATAATCAACATTCCTATTCCTATTCCAGTTCAATTAGATAAACGTTGGGCCGATATAGGTAGGGTAGCTTACATGAGTAATATTGCTGAGGTGTACTCTATGAATGAGGGCATAATGGCTTTGGCAGTGATGGTTCTTGAGTTAGTCACTACAGAATTGCTTTCTTGATGAAGTGGATTTGTTTTAAGCAGGACTGAGTCTCAAGAGTTCCATGGCTTATAAGTAAAACGATATATGAATCTAAGTATCTTAAGCTAGAGCAAGCTTTCAAGTTGCTACTTCCCTTTTAGAAACATTTGAGGAACAGGGCTATCATGGAATGCTGCTTCCCAAAGCTGCCTTTGTTGAGACTGAAGAGAATTTTTTCCCCCACTTGTGACAGAAGGAAGTCACACAAAGCTGGTGCCAAGACTCCATGCATTTATCCTGATTTTCCAGGAAGTCATCTTCCACTATCGATAGTCAAGTGTCATTTGATATTTGCCTAATACTAAATTTAGATCTCATTTTCCCTTCCCTATTTGCACGGCTGGGCTTCTTGCTTTTCAATTTGTGCAATTATAAAATTTGTGCAATTATAATGATGAATTTTCACTTCCTCAAAGCTCACTTCTTGCAGTGTGCAGTAAATTGA